GAAGGTGCACTTTAGTGTTATCTAAAATATTTTCAATGTCATGTCTGAATATTTAGCTGATTTTGACAATGTGGTTGTCAGATTTCAGAGCGAGACTTTTTTCCGAACTAAACTTTAGACACAATAACGGACAGACCGGATAAAGCAAAAAGTAAAGAAAAACGTTTCTCTATTCTTTCAATAATGTTGTCGGACACTTAAAAATAACAATCTGAGCCTGTCATTGGCAAAAACAAGCACTTTCAGTGGACGTCCATTGACGGTGCAGAATGGCCCGATAAGTATGATTACGTTTAACGGCTGTTATCTGAAGCCTTCTCCGTCAATACTGAACCAATTTCAAAAGTGTCGTCCCCATTAGTCGCTCGACACACAATATGAGAAAATAGTGTCCAGGTTGAAAAATACCAAAGTTACACCTTAGCGAGGCAAATTAACTTAACAGGTGAATGCAATCACCAATCGCTGTGACTTTACCGAGCATAGAATCACATAGAACCTCAAAGTCAATCATTGCTGTGCATTGAAACGCTATACGTTTGCATTTATAATAATAACTGATAAAATAAGGACAACATAAGGAGACAGGACGAGATGAGCACCTCTGCGCCCGTGCCACACAGTTCCAATACATTTTAGACCCTCAGTTTTGTGTCCATGTTCAAAGAGAGGGCGCGCTTTAGGATATCTGCCCATCTATTGTTACTTCTGGGTTCAATGATCCACATTTTAACTTTAGAGATGTTTGACCTATATAGTATTTGTCAGGATCTGATTTTGTACTCCTTTTTGGTGTGTGCCATAGAATTAGTCAGTTTTTACCATATTTCTGTGTGAGATGCACGATCTATAGGGGAAATTTCCCATAATGAATGCCTTAGGTCTTACTGTTAATTTGCTTTCACCAAGCGATCCCTTAGTCTTTTTTTTACCTCTTGTGTGTAAACGAAGGTTGTATGAAGCTGTTCTTTGATGTCCTGTCAGATGACAGAATATGCCAATGCTTCATGATTAAAGAATTCATCAATTTAACTGAGGATTATATGTTGAAACATATACCAGTACAATCTGCAAATCACATCACAATCAATAATTTGGCTTTTATGACCTTGACGATTGATCGACAGCAAAAAAATGTATAAAATATCCCACAAAAACTTTCTGAGAATCCCTGTGCAGCCTTATTTAAATGTCTTTCCTTGTCCAAATGTCCAATCAACGGCTCATGGTAATGCAAACACAACTATTTTTGCAAAACTACAAACTTTGCTAAACAAAGCAAACGGAGCATTTTTGTTCTGGGTTTTATTGCGTTTATTTGGCCTCCGTCGAAGTCAGTTTGCACTGATATGATTAAACTTTTTCTGGGACCATAGAGAGTCTAGAGAGGTGATTACCTATTCCTTTAATGCACAATAGTTGTTCACTTAACAGTAATGGTGTTAAATGTCTTTTGTAGATGGCACACTCTCCAGTAGCCTTAGTTATTTTTCCACACGGGGTTTGGACTTTGCCGTCGTCTCTTAACTCAGACAAATTTCAGATTTGCTTAAACTTTGTCTCTATCTTCTATTTCATGACTCCCATGCACACAGACACAAACCCATTGTTGTCTCCAGCCCTTTAAATGCTGAAGACCTACATTTCATTCGTTGCTTTAGGGAATTTCTTCGTGAGTGTCTTTAATGGTCATCAGTTCCTCCTGCTATTCTTTTTCCAACACTTTTTCATTGATGTCAGACTTGTCTGTCTGTAATTACCCTCAAGTTAAATACCAAAGATGCCCTTCAGAAGCCTTCTGTCTACGTGCCTACATTTCTAAAAAGCTCCCAGTATGGATTTCATCCTCCTTTCAAAGCCAAACATTTGGTAATGCAGTCACATCTCTAGTGTGTCTGGAAAAAATGGGTTGGTTTTTCAAGGCGGGCTTTTATGAAGCAAGGATGTCAGCTAAATGTCAGATTGTTGCCTTGTTGTCCTTTTATATTGTCCCCCTCACTCATCAGCAGAACCCTGCCAAAAATTGCAATTTAATGCTGAATCGTGCAATGAGGCGCTGCCTGTTTCAGCTGACTGCAAAGTAAAGGCAGGGAAACTATCACCTTGGTGCTGTCCTAGTGTTGGAGTGTGTGTTTGGGTGCCTGAGTGTTTTTTTCTGGCTTTGAGTATATGCAAGTGAGAGAGAGCAGCCGCGAGTATGGGCATGTTCCCCTTTTAATGCCATCATCATAGCCAAGGTCAGGGGACGAAGGCGTTTGGGCCGTGTGCCAGAGCAAGCTGTGACATGAGGGCACAGCCATAAAGTACCTTTGATGTGTTTTACTATAACTTTGCTGCGGGCTCTCCAGCCTCTCTACAGCTGCAGGACTGAATAACGGCTCCTCTTGGGCCCATTATTTAAAATTTCATGTCCAACTTATTGAGTACTGAATGAAAAGTGCACTGTATTTTTTTCTAATTTAGGAGGTGATTGATGGGAAGTGGTATGATTTGGGCCACAGCTTTATAGCCGTGGTAAAGTGGTGTCAGCAGCTCAAAGTGTACATGAATGAATCGTACATTTCAGCTCAGCTTGAGGTACTTTTCACTGCTGTCCAATTTGTTCTGCGTGTCAGTCAGCAAATGTCACTGTCAGTTTATTTAGGCTGCTGTAAGACTGTTATTCTCAGGTTCTTTTTCCTACAACATAGGGGCACAATAGTTTTTGAACATTTACATAGGGAACGTTTTAGGTTGTTGCTTTCACAGCTGTAGCTCAGTTCACTTAGTCAGACTATAGTTGCTGTTTAAGCCTTATTCTAAAACTTGATCAAAATGCATTTTAATGTTTTGTATTGTTTCCAGGAGAAAAAATGTCGGCATTGTACGTTTCTGCAAACCAGGGATACATGTGGACGTTTTTGCATTCGGTCAGAGTGACGGGTTAAATCGAGTGACTGTTACTGAAAGTTACGTAGTGTAATATAACGTTAGTGTAATACATTACTCTAACCGTAATGTATTTTCTAACCTTAACCAAGTAGTGTTGTTGCCTAAATCTAACCAATCGTTTCACAATGTTAACCACGTGGCATTGTGCGTTGCTTTAAACTAACGAACTAGTCTAATACGACAACCCTGCTATTATTTCTATCTTCAGGATAGATTGTGATTTCTGAGGTTGCAGTTTGTTCTGCTGTTGAATTGTGTTGTGTTATACAGAGAGTTTGTTCTATTATTCTGTACATCACATTTATATTAATGAGGGCAAACTAAAGGAGCCAACCATAATAACCCCAAACTTGAGTTGTGCTTTATATCATCTTTTCTAGGTTAGATAACAGTGCTCACATTCAAGCCCAGATCAATCAGTTTCTTAGTTTGCCTCGTGCAGACCGAACCAGTCACTCATATCATCCATGGAAAGCCTGCTCTTCCTGAGATTAGATCAGTCAACATTTATCTTTGTTCAGTCAGTGACATCCTTCATGCTTCAAACGATTGACACAAAAGGATCAGCCTCTCTCCGGACCGAAGGATTGGATTTTCATGCTAGGGATGGCGTGACGTGATTATCTCTGTAATATGAAAATGATTCAAGCATATTGTTCCATGTTAGCGCTTATCATTATATTCCCATCATGGTATGGTCATAGAGAAATCTTTCTTCTGCTGTACATCATTACCCTGTAAGAGGTAGGTTCACTTCACTGAACTGCTGGCTGGCTTGGTATTGTAGTGAGCAGGGATCTGGTTTTGTTTGTCAGGTTGCCCTGACCTGCAGAAAAAGGTCGGCCTTCACCCTATTTAGGTTTATACCTAGTGTCCCAAATTAGTAAATTTGAGGCCTGCTTGGATGTCACGTAATTTCCTGTTCCTAAGTTCTGATTTAACTGAGAAGACGCCATGAATCTTGGTGTTGCGTTTGATTCAACCCTCTCTTTTGAATCGTACATGAAATCACCAAGACCATCTGTTTTCACTGTCACAGCTCAATTCAGTTTTTTCCAGATGCAGAGAACCTAATGCACGTTTTTGTTTCATTCAGACTTGTTTATGGTATTGTTTTGTTGTCAGATCTGTTGCATGCTGGTACTGAAAGTCTTGGTTCAGAATGCTCCAAGAATGAACTAAACTAGAAATTGTGACCATATTAGGCCAGTTTTACTTTCCCTTTATTGGCTACCATGTAAGATCAAACTTTAAGGTGCTTCTTAAAGGTGGTTGTGTGCCTCAGGTACAATCTGTTAAAGGCTGCACCTGGTAGTTACTTTTAGAGGTAGAATTTTCCTAATCCTGTGTTCATTTAAATATATGTGACTTAAATGTTGAGTCATTTTAATGTTTGATGCATTTGACTGCCATGTTACAGTGTTGACTCTTGACTCCCTGAGGGAGAGAAGAGACATATTCATGACTACCTCTGCTGTTTCAGCCAAATACTGAAACTTTTATGTTTTCACAAGGCGTTTTTTTGTTTTTACTCCAACTAATAGAACTATGTTAGAGTTTATATTAAACTAGAAAAGTCAAACGAGTGCTCGCTGATTAAACTTTGCAGTTGTACAGTTGAAGAACTTTCAGTTTGAGTGTTAGCACAGAAAGCAGCCGGAGTAAGTAATGTATGAACAGTGGAAGTTTGGGAAGTTAGAAGAGCTGATTGATTAAATATAAGGAAAGAGAAATTGAAAGCATAAAAGCATTGAAAGATACAGAAGATCTTTGAGGGCAGATTGTCGATGTTAGACACAGGTGAAAGGATAAATTATGAACTTTATTAGAAAGCAATGCAAAGCAAACCCATCCCACTGAACTGGACTGGAATTGGAAAGCAGACTGAATCCAAATGTAGGCTTTACTCAAAATAAATATTCAGATTTCTTTCATGATTAAATTACGTGCTGAAACTGAAGTTGTAGCGTCACTGATTGAGTGTTCAACCAACTGTTGGGTTGAGACTACACTTGTACCTTCAACTGAAATAATTTTGTCCCTTTACTTCTCTTCTCCATGTTTGACAGACCTTCCGCCTCCGGCCATGAGGGAGCGCCCTCCAGGGTGTAAGACGGTATTTGTGGGCGGTCTGCCCGAGAACGCCACAGAGCAGCTCATCGTGGAGATCTTTGGACAGCGTGGGGAAATTGCCGCCATCAGAAAGAGCAAGAAAAACTTCTGCCATATCCGATTTGCTGAGGAGTTCAGTGTGGACAAGGCTCTCCTCCTCTCTGGTAAGATAAATTCACTCTAGAAACCAGTACAAACTCTTTCCTCCCCTAGTTTCAGGACCATCCTGTGTGGTGTTTGATTATGTCTTTTACTACAGACGGAAAGTTTTATGTCTGGTTAGCTATCTGTAGCTTGTTGTTTTTATGCCAAATCCTCACTGCTGTCCAATGGAAACCCCAACAAACCTCAAACCTCCAACCTCCTTATTTTTAGGTATGTGTTGGTTTACATTGGGCTTACAGGTCAGAGGATAAGAGTTTTCTTTGTTATCTGAATGGACAATATTGAATCTGTAGAGACCTCTTGTATTGTCAGTCCACTGCTATCAGTGCCCCGGCATTCCTTCACCTTGGGTGGAGGAAGAATGACGAGCTGTTAACCTTTATTCTGATGGAAATGAAAGGGCTGATATCCATCATTCAGCACTACAATTCTCACGCCTCACACATTCACCCGGGAACGTTTGACAGATGGATAAATAGATTGGGGGACTCCATACAAATTCTTTGGAAGTGAACAATACTGGATATTTAGTTGAAGGAAACAAGAGAATCGGCCAGGCGTGGAAGCCAGAATAAGACAAAACGAATTGACTCTTGCAATTAAATCACTCACAATAATTTTATTTGCATATTTATCATTTGTGCATCTCAAATTGTATGTAATCTTAGTTGTATTTTCTACATCTGTGGTTTACTGGTAGAACTGAATGACTTTGAATATATGCAGCTGCAGTCTTGTCTTTCTCTTTTGCTCAGTGTTGCCTCATTTATTTGATGGTCCTTATGGACGTTTCGTTCTGCACATTAATCCTCCATTCTGTAAATGGAGTAAATTAGCTGCATTTACAGGTCAAATGTCCTTGTGTACCCTTTTTAGAAGATTTAAAAGATTGTCTATCGTAAAGGATCAATAAAGATCTGTGAACAGATGAAGTAGGTTACAAACATACGTTACCAGGCCAATGGAACCTTTACTTACATTCCACAGAATATCAAACTGCTGCCTTGTAATCACTGTGTTAACATCCTATCACTTTCTGTGATGGAGAGCAGCGTTTTGCAACGAGCAGAAGGCTCACAGCGGAGATGGCTTGACGACAACTAAACAAGCGCCATCACAAACTTGCAGGAGGCATTTGTGTGACAGCTTACATAGACTCAGCTCTCACCAGGGGTCTCATTTATAAAACAGCGCGTCGGATCGACACTAAATGTTTGCATATGTTCAAAGGAGGAAATGCAAATGCTCCAAAGAACATTCAGATTATAAAACCTTGCCTACGCTTGCCAGTGAGCTATTTCCTTTTATAAATCCCAACTTAACCTGTAAATGTACGCGGCGGGTTCAGCCTCACATGCCGCCCTCAACCTGAATGTTGATGCATAGAAATGAGCTGCTGATCAGCGGTTCTTTACGGGGAATCGCTGCAACTACCGAGAGGAAGAACACTTGTCTGTGTACTGTATGCTGTATCTGTTCCTATGAAATAAACCATAAATGAATCAATAAAGTCGTGTTCACTGCAGCGATTTTACTCACAAACACTTAATTAAAACAAAGATTGCTCTGTTCTGCAGTTCTTTAACGCTATCTTACAGCTGATAATAATTGCATCAGCTGACCACGAGTGTCGGTCTCCTCTGCGCTCCTGGGTGCAGACAGCGCTGATGAAATATTAAGCAAAATTTGATTTGAGGTTTGAGTTGATTTATGTCTTTTATAATTGAGATGTGCTTATAATTATGTACAAGTCTCAATAGTACAAGCACAAATACCACTGCTGGAGTGACTGTTGATGAAGAGAATGTATAAGTGCAAAGTAACGTGTGATATTAAATGTGACAGGCATCATACATGTCATGATGTCTCCAAAATGTCCGTAGGTATGGGTCAGAGTTTCTGTACAGGTGCTCACATTCTCCCGCCAGGTTTGTTTTTATACGTCATAATGTTTGCGTGGGGAGTGGCGTAACGGTTATAGATGAGACCCCAGGCCTTTCTGTTGTTCTTTATAGGCGTTTTCTTCTTCCAACTGTCTTTATATGTTCAATAATTCGAGTTATAAAGGCCTGGGATAGGTTGAATATTTTTCACTCAAGTTAAAACTTGCGTGAATGCATCTTCATCCCGATTTGCCAGAATTTTTTGAGCGATTTCTACAGATTCTAAAATGTTCTCATACAACGGTTCATATGATATATTACGAAAAGTTACCTCTTATTTTTTGTGTGTTTTCCTACGAAAGCAAGCAACACGTGTCTGCTCGTTACATGCACACGTTTAAAAAAAAAAAATAAACTTCTGTCTTCACAGTTCTACTTGGTTAGGTCTAGGAATAGATCATCAAATCTTTCAATAACTACTGAAGTGCACAAGTTACGTGACAAAGACATCAACGTTGACATCTCGTTTCACAAGGGGAACAGCGGTCGCTTGGCTGAAAGATCGCCGTTTGTTGAACCCCTCCACCTCTTCTCCTGCCCTGTGTGGGTTTTTGTGGTCTTTATACTTCCTCGTTGTCAGGATTAAGGCAAAAATGGTAGCAAGGGATGGACCAAAATGCAGAGAGACACAGGGAAACAGAGGGATGATAGACGGTGATTTTAATTCAAAAGAAAATGTTCAAAACAAAACTTGCAGAGCAGGGGAGTCAAAAAACACAAAATAGGATCAGGTAAATTAGGGAAAAAGCACAAGGGATTTTCCAAATGTGAAAAATGAGATGTCAGTTCATGTTAGGCAGTGTCTTTTCTAGACTTCCAAGTAGTCAAACAGTTTCTCCAGTTATTGACTGAGGGTTATGCAGCTTGACTCTTTCATCAATTGGTTTCAGGGCCACACCACTGGTTGCTCACATTTAAAATCCTTAACATCCTTCTGCCGATGGGACGCAGCTTTAACTGTTCCTTGAGAGGAAGCGGCCTCTCTTGTTTGTCATGTGAAACCAGCTTAGGACTCTTTTTGACTATTATTTTATCTCCATCCAGCAGCTCCTCCTGCACAGATGCCTTAAGTCTTTCTTTGCTGGCCATATATTCTCTCCTCACAAAGCTCATTTAAAAGACCAGCCACTGCAATAATACCCTCTGCATTATTTAACGTGTGTGTGTGTGTGTGTGTGTGCTTGGTTGTGTGTCTTTGTGTGATTTCATCTACCTCTACCCTACAATAAGACTGGAGCTATAAGTCCGTATATTAGCCAGATGACAGACCTGTGTAGCTTTCTCATAAATACTACTTTCCGTAACACTCTGGCCTCTTCTCCCAAAACACACTCGGACACACACACACACACACTACTACAGCAGCCTCGGCACACTGAGGTCTCACCTTATGAAATATTGAAGCAAACAGAGAGCCTTGAGCAAGGAGAGCAGACTCCAGACACAACCCAAAACTCTTTCTTCTGCTCGCACCGACATCCAACTTTATCTTCGCTTTCCTGCGATGAGAGTGTGTGTTCATGTGTATTCGGAGGAAAGGCCCAGGGCTCTCTGAGCTTGTTTCCTAGTTTCTGAGTTCTGATCTTTCTCACAGATCATTCGGACCAATCAATTACCAAAACAAATGTGGTTGCACTTTACACCCACACACACGCAGCGGAATGAGCTTTGAGTGTCAGGTGGGGGAGGCAGTGAGGTGATCCAAGGCTACCACCGTAATTAGTGGCTCACACTCGTGCACGTGCGGGACAGAAAGCTCAAGTGACTTGCTCAGCTTTTGTCGGTCTACGCGTTGGTCTATACACCTGGAGAGCAGCTGCAGTAACAGGGACACATGGGGAGAACAAAGAGGATGTGATCCGGTCGTTGTCTGAAGGAAAATGAGGACAAGTTGATCAATTTATCTTTGTCAGTATCTGTGTGTGAATGCAGCCTTTTGTCTTCCTATCTGTGTAAATCTGCCTATTTGTGCTTGTTATCCTGTCTGTGCTTATCTCTGTCTATTTACTGTACATCTGGATTGCAGTGGGCGTAGATAGAAACTGATATTTCACCCTGTTGCGACTCTCATCCAATCAATGAAATGTCTTAGCTATCTTACATGTCCTCTGTTTTCTCTCTATCTCTACGTCCATCTTTTCACCTTTTTTATTCTCTCCTTCTCGTGAGCACGATATATCTCAGGAACACCTTTAATGAATTTCTTCAACTTTGGCACAAACGTCACTTTGACCTCACAAAACAGATTTTTGGGCCTTAATTCAAGAATTCTTCGACTAATTATGACATTTTCACATGCTTAATATGATAAAATGAAGAAGGGATTTCAGACAGACAGTAATTCTAGTTTTTATTTATCTCCTCTTAGACCTCTCCTTCTCCTCCCACAGGTTACCACGTTCGTTTGGGCTCCAGCACAGACAAGAACGACTCCGGCCGTCTCCACGTGGACTTCGCCCAGGCCAGAGACGACCTCTATGAGTGGGAGTGTCGCCAGCGCTTGTTGGCCAGAGAGGAGAGGCACCGGCGCAAGATAGAGGAGGATCGCCTCCGGCCGCCCTCCCCTCCTCCCATCGTGCACTACTCGGCGCACGAGTCCAGCCAGCTGGGAGACAAGATCAAAGGTTGGTAGACAAACATGTCAGTCACTTGATACACCGCTTAAATCCAGACTGAAATATCTCAACTCCCCGATGGATGGCCAGGAATTTTGCTACGGGAAACTCATGTCGCCCTCAGGACGAATTGTAATAACTTTGATCAACTGATTTTTTAATTTAGTGCCAATTTGTCCAATAGACCAATTCTAGCAAAGAATGAATATCAGCCTCAGCTGCACTTTGTGTTTTGTGCTGCTCAGCAAATGTTAGCATGCTAACACGCTCAGTTAAGATGAACATGGTAAACACTATACCTGATAGCATGTGAGTTTTATAATTGTGAGCATATTCGCATGCAGACATTAGCATGTAGCTCATAATACTGCTCTGTCTTAGTACAGCCTCACAAAGCCACGAGCATGGCTGTACTCTGACACTGATACGCTTCTGTTTTAAACAATCCAGCTGTTTAAATACCATTCGTCTATTTTCTTCTTTTTACATGCATCACTACAGTGATGGTGTGTTGGGCTCATTTAGTGCTGATGACCTTCACTCAATACTGAGCTTAGAACGCACAGTGTGTTGACTGAGGGACGGCTGCTGCTTTGCTAAAGTGATGCTTGAATATTCCTGTAATCATCTAATACTTTTTGCTATAATTGAAATAACTCAAATATTTACCAGTTCAATATGTAACCTGGTGCAGAGAATTCCAATATGGACTCCCATGAAGGGATGAAAATATGTTTAAGCTGATTCTAAATTTATTTTGAGCCAACAGTGACAGTAATTTAAACACACTTGACATTTCAGTGTCTGCTGCCTTTTTCTCATTTGAGTGTCTTATACTTCTGCTTCCTACTGAGAATTTAAAGTGACTCGATACTTGTTAATCGTATTCCTTGACTGCAAGGAGTTGTACTGTAATTTAAAATATTTAAATGCCCTGCGTGGCTGAGTACAGTTCCCATCAGTGTTCAGAGCACATATAAGGGGAGGCTGAGCTGAATGTGAGAATATGTTGTTGATCATTTTAAATTCTTAATGTAATCAAACACTGGTGGCAAGAGAGTCTTGATTGATCCCCAGTGACATTGCTGACCTTACCCTCCCTCTTTCCTGTAACATTAAAGCCAGGAAGGCACTTGCCCTAAAATAGCTGAAGAGGTCCTCTAGATGGGGAGTGTTGATCCTTTTTTTTCTTCTTTTTATTCAAACAGCTGAGTTATCTGCTAATTGACAAATTAAGTATTTGTCAATTTGCAGCAGTTTCTTGTGATTGGACCAACTTTGATTTGATTGTTTAATTCACAATATATTTTCAAATCTGTTTAAATGAAGAAGTAAATGCATGGCAGAACAAAATTAATTGAGAAAAGTCAGTGGATGATCTCACAGGACAATTATATTGTTGCTGAGTTGCAGCACGATTTACTGGGATGTTAATTTCTTTTTTTTTTCTTACAGCTGTTCACAGAGCTGTTTGTTTACTCAATTGTCTCAATGTCATAAATTGTTATGTTCTGGATAATGTTTCTGCAAGTTTGAAGTCACTAGCACATCTCTTCCTGTCGCTGACTTGTGGATAAATATATCAAGGTAAGACAATCTTATATTTGAATTTGTGTATTTATGCTCAGGTAACGCCTCAGCTGAAGACCCATTCAACTAAAATCTGAATCTATCTGGCCTCTGGTTGTTTCCAGTGATTGAATACTGCTAATATTCCTCCAGATTGTCTATTAATATTGCCGCTGCATGGAGCCATGTATTATGAGACCTGAGTTTGCCTATAAACAAACAGGAACACCTTAGGGATTCATGGGATAACACCTTGATTCAATATCTGTTGCTGTGATATTTCATCATTCATGCAAGCTGTCTGATGGATGGATGTGTGTGTGGGTGTGTGTGTGTGTGAGTGAGACAGAGAGAGAGATAGAGAGTATTGAGAGCATCTATAGAACCTGGCTTGAGGCGAGACACCCCAGGCAAAAACATTGTTTTTCATGCACTGGTCAGTTTTGAGATTTTGGGCTATTTTGCTCCCACAACATGTCTTCTTCTTCAGACTAGTGGAAAGAAAACATCCAACATACACATTTTAAATGTTTACACTTTGTGTATTTGCGTTTGTAGATTTCTTCTAAATTCACCAAAAGTTGCACTAGTTAATGCCTCATTTAAATATTTAAACATAACATTTAAGAGCATTTTTAATTTAAAAAAATAATTCTCTTAGCAAGTCATCAACTAGGGAAGTTTAATGGTGTTATCCAATGTTTAAAAATGTTTAACCCATTCCCTTGTAGTGTAATGAATGGCATTTTACCTATATCTTTAATAAAGAGCGTTTCTCAAAATGAGTTTTTGAGCCAGAAATCTCCACTTCATTAGCGGTCACATACACCAAACTTTCCTATATTCTGAATGTTGTTCATATATCATTCATAGCCTGAAATATAGAACATTTTATCCCGAAAATGTCTGTCGACAGTATGTTCTGATTTATGGAGTGATAAAAAGAGATATACCAAATTCCCCCGTGTAAAAACCTTTGACTCCAATATGTCATCAATGGCACAATCATTTTCAACCTGGCTTCATCCAATGATTCGATTTATTTGTATGCAAATTAGCACATATTAAATAAGATAATGCCTTATCAGAAGACCTTTGATATAAAGAAAACTGCCTTAATGTTAATAGTAATCTGCTGTGGAAGTTTCATGGCGATGTATATTAGTTACATTTACCTCCAGTGTCTCCCCTAAATAAATATAAATCTGCTCAATCTGTAAAGATGCTAGGTAACATGATGCATGTGTGCGCACGTGTGCATGCGTGTGTGTTGTGGAGGTCTGAGGCAGTGTGATGTAAACTGTGTGTGGGAGTGTATTCCCTCCTATGCTCCTCTGACTTGTAAGCAACCCAGCGAGGCAGCAGAGGACAGGACGACAGCGGAATAACAACAATAGAAATCAATAAAGTCTCCTGACATCATCTGATTATTCACCAGACAAAGCAGGCGTACTGCTAAACAAGCTGAGCTTTGTAAAGAGCAGCTTTGCCGTACAACACCGTGCTCCCCTCTTCTGAAGTCATCCGGCGAGTGTTGTTTACCAAAGATGTTTATAGGAAAGAGGAGCTGATTGATTTAACCCCGCCACTGTTCTTCTCATTTAACCTCCTGCTCTTTTATGTTCAGTGTATAGATATGATAATTTTTCTCCTCAATCATATTTAATCCGTTCTTTTCCTCTTCATCCCCAGACGACAGCGAGTTCTTGAAGTTATTTTGGTCTCGTCATCATCATCGTCGTCGTTCCTTCTTCACAGACACTCGAGTGTGCGACCTGAAGACAACCCAGCATGCATCTCCAACAGATGTGTCTAAGACAGCTTGTACTGCACAAAATGTTATTAAATTGAATTTCAGCAGTTGAGATGATTTTTGCTACTTGTCTTCTTTTCTCATGCGTTCGTATGAAATATTTTATTTGGGTTGTTGTTGAACTTGTTGCCCTCTGCATGTCTCTGAGCATCACGTTTTTCAGAGTAAATCTGCAGAGGCAGCTGTTCTTTGATCCTGATGACCATTACTCTCTACTTCTGTCCCTCTTTGGCCAGACAAATTTCAGTTGGCAGAGGCTGTTCTGTTATTGTACTTCTGTTTTATTGATTTATTTCGTTCCCTTCCTCCCTTTTCAATTTCTACTTTCCTCCTAACTTGGTCAAACGACTGTGACTTTGTGAAGGCGGCACTTTTTTTAACCGTTCTTATGTAGACTCTCCTTCACCTCTGCCCAGATGACAGCAAACACACTGAGTGAAATCTTCTTTTTATTTCGCCATTGACCCAGACTCTTGCTCTCTCCACCTCGTCTCCTCCCTTCCTCCCCAGATGACAATACGTTTCCTGAAGCGGTGCGTGTGCTCCTGACCTGGCTGGAACGAGGTGAAGTCAACCGCAGGAACGCCAACAACTTCTACTCCATGATCCAGTCCTCCAACGGCCACATCCGCCGGCTGACGGGCGAGAAGAGTCAGCATGAGAAGGAGGTGGAAGAGGCCAAAGACAAGTTCAAGACCGCGATGGCCACCATACTGGCTCAATGTGAGTCCTCTCTTCTACCATTCCCGTGCACAATTACCAGCAAACAACTTATATAACCAACAGCAACATTACTGCCGGAATTCTAATCAGCTTCCTTACAAAAAGCATCACCTTAAGTTACCTCTGTAAATTATACTCCTTTCAAAACAAGGTTACAAAGGGCTTTACATAGCAGAAGAAAAATGCAATACTGTTAAATTTCAAAAGGCATAATTAAATAGAGGTACATTTAGGAATAATATAGAAACTGCATTTAAGAAAATCTTTAAAAGAGAGATAAATATAATCACACCATAACATGTCCTTTTAATAAGAGGGATTTTTAAGCAGTGATTTCAAAGCCCGCTTTACACATATCTTCATTCAAATCAATCTACAACTGACTGCCAGTGTTGTGCAAGTTTACATTTCACTCGAGCTAGTTCAGTTTACACAGATTAAAAGGAACTAGTTTACGTTCATTTATCAGGCTCGCTACTGTGTTGCATGTGTTTTGGAAGTAGTGATCCTAAAAATGGATGTTTTGATCGTGTTTTGCTGTTGTTAAACATGGCCCCCATTTACTTCAATTCATCACATTTTTAAATGTTTTGATTCTCTGCTCATTGTGGAGACATACGATAAAGTTTTATTCAAGAGTTTAAGGTAACATGGGGTTGAGAAATTGATTTACAAATAGTCATTTTGTGAGTGAAATATTCCTTAAACTGTTCACGTTCATTAGTTGCAGTAGGATATGTTCAGCTCACACCTTTATTTATTAATCAGCAGTCATCTGACTGATCCATGAGAACAAGGACTTCCAAAAGTCAAGCTTTGATTTAAAAAAAGAGCAAAGAAAAACAAACAAACTTTTCTACTTATTCATCATCAAAACACAAAAACAACCTGATTTGTTTTCCTCAAGAGGAGATGTAATTATTACATAAATTTATCACAACAACAAAAAAGAAACCAATCAAAATGACAAAATGAAATTAACGGTGACACATTAATGAGCCAGCCTTTGGAATTTGATTTGAGCAGACCGAGCCATTTGGGGACAAAATAAAAGGATCTTTGATTTCAACTAATGCAGCGTTTGTGTTAAAGGGGAAACTCAGGACCAGATTATGACAAAACTATGAGTCCAGTAAACTTAGAGATAAACACATTGAACGTCTGTCTTGGACTCTCAGAAATACAGTATATTTAGAGAGGACATGTTTTATATTTAACGATAAATGTTTCCTTTGTGATTATTGGTAAAGTTGGATTTTACCGTATCTCCCATCCAACGCTGGCTATGAACAGCGTAACCGTTTTTACACTATTCAGAAATGTTGGTGCTTTTGTTTGTTGTAATTAAGGCCAACATTTGTTGGCAGATTGTGTCTTCACATGGAAAATTGGCCACCAGTCACAGAAACAGGATTTTACCGGTGAGTTCACATGTTAAGGAGCATGTGGGCTCATTGAGCGTGTCCCTTTCAATCACACGCTAAACGATTTATCCTATGTTGCATTCCCCGTAGAATAGCGCTTCATCCTACAGAATTTACGATTCAGTTATTGCTATACTTGGGTAACAGGTGCAATTGAAGCTACGCTGAAGTGATTCCCATGACACTCTGTAGTCTGCGGTTATATAACAGCTCTGTACGGCATATCAAATGCTCAAATACCCAGAGACAAATGCATAAATACGCTCTAACCCACACATTTTCACACACAGACACGTAGAAAGCTTTACATGTTATAATGTAAATATGGAAGCTCATTTCCGCAGCAAAAAAAAAGAAAGTCACCAAAAAATAAAGAAAAAAAAATTGCAAGTTTTTGTTTTGCTGGCGGAAAAAAATTAATAAGTAAAAAAAATAAATGTTTTTCTACTTTTTTATCTCATTCATGAGATAATTTGTCTAATTTCAGATTAGATTTTAGAGGAAATGGTGCATAGTTACAAAATCATTTCACAACAGGTTAACTACATGTAAATAAGCCCATTTACGCCAGCGAAAGAAAAAAAAGTCACACAAAAAAAATTTAAAAAAAATTGTAAGTTTTGTTTTTGTTTTGCTGGCGTAAAAAAAGTAAATAAGTTAGAAAAAAAAGGGCTCAGTTTGGAAAGGCATCAACAAAGTCTAAGATAGTCTTTACTGTTTACTGTACCGTTTACTGTACAAAAAAGCACTCATTATTACTAAAGACATATGATAAAGGACTGTATTAAAGATAACAAATCTTAACGAATTTAAAGTTTGTCCCTCTTGTATCTCTTGCAATCATTCAGGTTGTCATCTTTTTGTTACACTGCCACTGTTCTAATGCATTACAATGTATTCAACACGTGTTGAAAGTTAGTTGAAAGGCAGAAAACCACAATAGAGCATGTGTCCCCTGAAATCCTGGATGCATATTGATTAGCATGCTTGTATTGATATCTACATACGTCGTTCTGGTTTCAAAAGGGACGATTGAAGTGGGTTACAACCTCCAACGACTGTCTTTCTTTGCCTCTCTCTCATTGTCTGTAACTATCTCTCTCTGTCAGTCAACCTCACTCTTTTCCTTTCTGTTCCTCTCTCATTAAAGGCCATCCACATCCAACACAATAATCCATACAGAACCTTATTTCTATTCATGAATTTGTCTTTCGCTCGCCGTACTATCGCACATGCAAATGTCAACACTGAGATTTGTCTCCCATGAGGCAGTTTTACACCCCACACCTGTGAACAACAGACACATCCATATTTACCGGGCTCTGCTTTTGTCAGAGACTGCCATCCAAGGACACATTATTATCGGCATTATCACTTCTGTCACCTTGAGGATAATTACCTTTATTGAAAAGCTCTTGACATTGTCCCTTGATTTTTTATTTTTTTGTAAGTGGAAACAGACAACTTTCACCATTTTCCCTCTTTCCCTTCTTTTTCTTTTTCTTTTGCCCAGTAGAGTTTCCGCAGTTTTCTTCCGAAACTTTTTCAGCATCAAAATAATATCACAATACAAATTACTCCGCTTGATCCACCGTCTGTCATTTCCGTTACCAGGAGATGGATGGCTATAGATAGCTAGTGGGGGGAACAAAAGCGCTATCCTTTTCCTGTTTTGGTTGCGCAATAATTCACTTTCTTTGTGCCGTAAACCAAGCCTTCATTTTCCCAGAAGATCATACTCTGAGGCAGAAATAATTTCATAGTGACAGCGAGGCTTATAAGGAACCCATCTAAACACTGGTGGTGTATTTATTCTATAGCCATTGCATTGTGCATTCAACATTTACTTCATACTGATAAGTCAAAGCAGAAAAACTTGTCGATTGCCTTTCAGTTTGCTGAATACATAAGCAACAACACATAATAATAATAATAATAATAATAATAATACATTTTATTTATAGAGCGGTTTTCAAAATACTCAAGGACACTTTACAAACATTAAAATCATCATAAAAAGCTATACACTAAAAACATAGAACATACAACATTCGTCACACAAATGTGATCCAGTAAAACTTTGAATCCGCTACGGAAATGTGACCAGAACGCTGCTGCATCCAGTGAACATCCGGGGTTGCATATACATATAATCCTCAAAATGTCACTGAATGTTACGGACCACTTACTTAACAGGTGGGTTGAGACGAATTTCAACAGTTACTTTGTTAGCTGACAGCATTTCCTCACCCAAAATCACAACAAGCAATTATTGTCCATCAGAGGAGTTCTATATATTGGCACCACTATTAGTCTGTCTTGGACCTGCTTCTAAGGCATTCCTCCATTTGATAAAGTGCCGACTTCCCATTATGGACCTGTTTCTGCTAACTGGTCAGGGAATACGAGACCTTATCGTTGTGTCCCTGTTAGCAGGGAAAATGAAAAACCTGTTTAGGAGTATTGCTACTACCACTGGCTGGCGTGTCCCTAACCACAACTAGTTTCCGACACGGCTTGCTAGGCTTGACAGCCTTCTATCAAAGACATGGGAGAGTCTCCTGGGTGCTTCGCTCTCACCAGGGGGATTGTTTCACCACTCAGTGCTTCTGGAGGGGAAAAGGCCCAGATAGAGCATCCTCTTCCTCTGTTGTCTGGTATTCACCCATTCCTCTGCTGTGGAAGAAAGGGTTCTCTGTGTTCGGCTGCCAATACCAAGACGCATCTCACCATAGGCGCTAGCACTCTATTGACCCTTTACCTCTGACTCTTTGCCTTCCCTAGGGTGCTTCTGCATTGCGTCATTTAGTAATCCCACTTTCATTTAAGAGCGGAGGTGCAAATACTTTGCTTAGCGTCGCTAGCTTATCATCCTTTACAACCCCAAAACACTGTATGCAAACTTTTAAAAACCCAGTGACTAAGTTTTAATAGTTTTTCAGGCAAGAAAGTAACCATTTAGATTCCCAATGAGTGGGCAGTTTACCCAAATTACACCTATTTGGAAATTTACACTGAAGCAGTATAAGACAAGCTGGTCGTTGTACTCATCACATCAAGAATGTTTTTGTTATTATTCTCACTGCCAGAAGGCGTAGACACAGGTCCGCACTACATGTGGAACCATGTAGTACGAGAAACAAATAAGAAATTAAATCAAGAAAATCGCAATTAAAAAGTTTGCGCTAGAAGATGAACTAATATTTATACATTTCAACTCTGTGTGGACTTTTGTCTACCCTTCTGGTAGTGGGAGTATTTCCAGAAACACTTTCAACATGAGATCTTGTTTGCTGAGTCTGACCAGCAGGTGTACTGATATGCTTCAGTGCTTCTGTACTTCCTCAAAGAGGAGCCATCTACACCTGGCTGATAGATGTGGTACTGTGAAACCATCCGATCGCAGCAGTGTAGCTGCTGAATGTTACCAAATAGCATTCATTGTTTAAAACACTGCTAGCACTAAACATCAAGAACGAATACAATTGAACCATAAGGGGAAATGGGCGGGGCAGCATATGGTGGACAAATACACTGGGAATCTGCATTTTATTCAATTTGTTGCAATTGGATTTTATTTTTTCTGCCAATGTTTTGGCCACTTAAAGTTATCAAATGAAAATATTTAAATTGATGTCTCCTACAGGAGACATAATATATCTTCTTACCTCTTAGTTTTGTCAATTCTGATTTATAAAATGGATCATTTTCATGCGCACATCCTTCTTATGTGTCTCTTTCAATACTAGCTGTGGATTAGTTCCAGGCTTTGTACAACATGACAAATGTGAGCTTTTGATTTCTGCTTGCCACAGTGATGGATCTGTCCTTTCACATACAAATGACAAGGAAACTATTTCAAACTTTTGTTTTAACTTGATTCAAACATTGCTTCTGACAACCTACTGCCACTATTTTCATTTCATATTTCAGCCTGTGCAGTAGAGAGACAGACATCCTCATGTTGGGAAAATATGTACAGTAAATACTAAATAGATAAAATACAAACATATATATATATGTATAAATAAAGTAACAATGTAAATAGCTTTACAGTTTACTCTCCTGATGTCAATGCTGGACTATTTTCAGTGTAGTATTAAAGGTATATCAGTGATTGAGTGCCTGACATAACAATACTATATTAATAGATACATACTTACTTGCATAGATCTACAATATAGCTGAAGCCCAGACGTACACATCATGTGCTCATATTGAAACACATTTTTACATTTTAAATCGTAAAATACATGTGAATAAACAGAACCTATACTGCCAGTGATTGCAGTAGATCGCTCTGGTCCACCATTCCCCATTGACCAATGAAACTGTAACCAAGTAATCAAGGAATAAATGTATTATTAATATCAACACCCACTGTAATACACACACACACACACACTTATATGCACACATTTTTTCTGAAGTGTAAATGTAGTGTCCAATATAAGAGCCTCTCCATACAGCCATAACATAAACGTGGGCGCCTTGGAGGGAAATATCAATACACCATAATGTAGCCCAGAGCTGATGCAGTTCTAACCCTGAACATATCAATAATAGTCAGGATACAGTATGTGATGGTGGCTCGATGCATGGAGTTCTACAGCAAGCTCTTTTTTTAAATATTGTAATTGCGTTGAGTGATGGAGGGAATCTATTCAGATGAAATGCTGAGTTCACTGTCTCTCGCTGTAGTCTAACACGATAGCCTCCAAAGTACCACAATGGCCTCTGCAGAGAAGGAAGGAAAGCAGCTATTCAGCAAAAAAAACATAAAAAATAGTTTATCTTGGCATCTTATAAATGCTTACTGGCCTTTACAGAAATCACAAAAGTCAGTTCAGTTTAAAATGACTTTTATGGTGAAAACAGTTTTGCTACTAAACTAACTGAAATGATAAGAAAGGAAATGACTGTATATATGTAGGTCTTTATCTTAATTTGGTCGACCACATTGCCACCATGCAAGTTGTTAGATAACCAGGCATCTAAAATGAAAAAAAAAAAACCTTCAAAGCCTTAACTAGGTCTACGTCAAATATATGTTTGTCCTAAATGTCTAAACTCATGTCTTACGATTCGTCTGTCTGAGCTGAGCTGCATTTTCTCCTCTGAGCAAACAACTATCGATGTGGGCTGTTTATTGCCTGATTGTATGAAAAACCGTACTAATCAAATGCACATTTGCCCCTGTGTGATGACTGTGAGTCCATGGCTCCCAACTGCAATATATTTTCATGTTTGGCTGGTAAACATTTTCAACATTATGTCCTATTTCTCGAAAGACTCTCAAGACTAGAACCAGATTTCCTATAAACCCTATCACAACATCTCTGTCACACATAGGATGTTGCTTCTTTGGTTAAAAGTTTCTTTCTTTGCCTTAGGGAAGACAATAAACATACAAGAGTTTTGTTGTTGTTTTTTTAAATTTGCCTTTGAGTCAACCTACCATCTGCTAGTGCCAAAAACTCAAGCAAGCTTTCATGCAATTTGCACTTGAGGATCAACCTCCTATTTCCAATTTGAGTCTCTCTTCACACCATAGAATTGCTGATTTAGACTGCTACAAGATATAGAATTCAGTTTTGGGGCCAGAAGATGTTGCTAATGTTTTCATTGATGGTCTCATTAAGTTACAGTACACACAATATGAAGAAATCAATGTGAAAATGATTTGATAATGCTACACTTAGCATTAAAAGTAGTTCATCAAAGAGTATGGTTTACTATCTGAAACATTCTCTTCCAATAAAACAGTTTGATTTCAAGGACAGTAGCCAGTTTTAGCTCTTAGCATTTTTCCCCAAGCAGCTAGGGATCTCTCGTGGGTCCTATTAGAACGAATTTCACACGAAAACCACCATTTCTCTCCAGTGATTGCACCATTTTTAAATAGTAAGTGCTGTGTAGAACTCTGTTGGATAGAGTTTTAATCATTGGTGTGCAAAGACTAATATCTGAGGAGAATTGTTCATCTTTATGTCAGTAGATGATACGAAGCATAGAACCACAACGCAGTGAAACATGTTTGCTTCTCTTCTCTGTTGCATTAATAACAAACTCACCCCTCTATAAATTATATAATATCATTCAACTTTAATTTTAAAGAACCAAAGAATCCCGCACACGGTTTCTTCACAGTTTCTTCACAGTCAAGAGTTTTTGATCCTTCGCACTTGTCAAGGAGACTTTTCAATGTGAGAACTTTTCTGTAATAATATGATCAAAAGAAAACACACAAACTGATCAAGACAGGAAATTATATTTGGAGATATACATAGAAATATTTTGAGAAGGAAGGAGTTCACGACATGTGGTCTTTTTATAATGGTGTCAAATAACATGCACCAACATTTGTTTCACTGGGACCCCCTGTAATGCTATGTGTTTATATATGTGTAATTACGTCAATAAAACATGTCTCAATATATGACACAGGTCTGAAACATAAACAGTGCATACTGTAGATCCACATCTCTTTTTTCCCCAGCTGACTTGATTGTTTCATTCCTTCCCTCTCTTTCTCTCACTCTTCCCTACATCTACACATGTCTTCCTCAGTTGAAGAGATCGTGTCTGTATTCAACGCTGCTTCCAAACAAAAGGCATGGGACCATTTCTCCAAAGCTCAGCGGAAGAACCTGGACATGTGGCGCACGCAGGTTGAGGTTGGTGTTTTTGTATTGCTGCATCTACAAGTATATATGCAGCTGTTTGTAGTTTTAGTAAGGAGCTATATAGCAGATCAAACAAATACAGCTTGAACCTTTTGCAGTTAAGTCAAAGAAAAAGCAGAGTTTTTAAACACTCAACATTGAAAAAATATAGTTGTCTCTATCCAAAGTTGAAACCAAATCCTTTTTAGTTGTTCCCCTGTCTGCGGCATTGATTATAGTAACCCCATTTACGCTTAGTATTAACGTACGATCCGAATTTTGATATCTCATGTTTATAGGGAACAAGTTGTTAATACAAGTTGTAAATTATCACAATTATCACATCACATTTTCAGGCAGAATCAAGATAACAAGAATGTTTATAAATAAAAGGTGTAAATGAAAAGGCCTCATGATCAGATGTCATTACCCAGATAATAGTTTGCATGTTAATACAAGTTAATGGTGTGAGGCTTCTGGATGAGGTTTTGGTCTTTGAAGGCTTTAATGAGCCGGTGACTGAGAGTTTGTTTTTATTTCTCTCTGCTGCTCTAAACTGTGTCACCATTTGCCGCCTGCTGTCATATATAGAAAGACAGGAAAATAACTGCTTAGTTGTGTGCTTGGGCCATAAATTGAGGTTATCCATCTCATCCTCTTTTCAGAAACTGACAGGGCTTTGCTGTTTTTCATTATTATTTACCATCAGACAAATGCCACGTTAATTATGGGGAAGATTTGTGTGTTAATGGATTTTGTGTTGTTTTTGATAGAGAGTGCAGCATTAGGTGTAGGCACGATTGGTGAAATGTTGATCCGCTGAAACTCTCCTAATGCCTGAGTGTAGAAAGTGTTTGAGTTTGAAGTTTAATCTACAGCCAGATATTTTACACACACACACACACACACACGCAGGGTTTCATGCACTCACAGAAGCACTGCGTATAATGTGATATATCCACAGACGTCATCGCACATCAAGCGTTGTCACAGCATGTTGCTGAAACATTCTCTCTGCTGAATGTCAATGAGACCTTATTCTTTGTGAATATTCATGTACAGTATCAAAAAAGAATCGTGTTCTTTCTCCTCCATCCCCTGCAGATATATGTAAATGCTGATACGTTTCCAGAAATAGATTGTGACATTAACAAGCATTCGGAGCCGCTGCTGGGAGCTGTCCACATTAGTGTTGATACATTAATCACACTTTACACTTTAACCCACAAATATTGATTTGCTGTTAGGCGGGGCACCATGCCTCTACACATTGTTGTTGGCTTTGCATCCGAGGTTTTAGCGCACCAGGTGAGTGTTTGTTCAGTTCCCGTGGTTTGTCGCTGCTGATGTTGAAGAGCCTCTTGTGTTCAACATAAGTAAAAATCAGCTCCTGAATTATTCTCGGTGCCTCTGTCAGGTTGGGTGTTGTTTCCATCACTGTATCTGTAATAAGACAAAGTGCCTCACCATCTGTACACCAGGCAGACTGCAGAGAATACAGCTGTAACTCTGTTTCAACATCATGGGTGGTACAATTTATAGTTGATTTTTTTCTTAGTTGCTTAAATGAAGCAAATCAAAATCCCATTAGTCACTAACTAACATATCTCTCTTCGTTTCTTCCCATTCTCTATTTTTGTAAAGCTGTCCATCCTTTTATGTTTGCTTTTTTACTTGAATTAACAACTTCTACAGAGAGAACAGTTTTTATTCTCCGTATCAAACATCTATGCTTTCTTACATGAAGGGGGGGGGGTGAAAAATAAGCGTTTGTAAGACCCTTGTATGAAGCTCAATGATACTTTCCAAAGATTAACATTAGCGAAACGGTAATGATGAAATATCATAGCTTGAGGAGTATTGGAAATCAGGAGTTTGACATTTTTTACTGACATTTCCGTTCCTAGAGCCACAATAGCAGCAATGTCAGTCTGACAGTCGATCCACAGCTTTGGTTTTGACAACTATTTGATCAATTTCAATCAAACTTAGTGCAGACATTCGTGGTCCCCAGAGGATGAATTGTATTAACTCCGGTTAACCCTTTTATTTTTTAACTACACTACCATCCTCATGTAAAAAACTTTAATTTGTTCAAAATCCTAAGTGACATGTCAGACTTTGATTCTGCAGGCCGCTGTTTGTCTCTTTGGTTCTTACAGACACTGAAAGTTGACTTCTTTTAACCATGAACACAGTGCATTCAATTGGTTATCATTGTAACCATAACAACAAGTTCCCTGACCTTAACAAATGAGCTACTTTAACCCAACTGTCATCTCTCTGTGAAGCTTTTGTTACATTCTTCTATTCTGAAATATTTGAACAGTTTTAAATGTGAGACACACTTTGTAGGTTATTTTTCAATTTGTCAAAAAGGGATGATGTTATTTTGAAAACAACATTTGTGAGTTTGGTGTATTGAAACCACGGAGAATCAGTCATAGTATCACATTAGTGTAGAGGCTTCTGCTGGGGAGGAAATGATCTGCACGGACAAAATGTCACATACCTGCTTGCTCTCACTAAGGTGAAGCCTGTTAGCAGTTTTCCCTCCACGTTGACATGGCACAGGAAACTGAAGTGGACAAATTGAAGAGATGGTTGAGGAAAACACATCCAACCACCATTGCAGTTGTTGCATGTTGTGTTTTTTTTGAGTTTACTGGAATTGTAATGTTTTGTCTTCAGGAGTTGTATGTAACAAACAGACATTACACACGGTTGTTGGTTTTTTTGTGATGTTTTATTCACGGCTGCTTTGGAGCATTCTAGTAAGGCATTTGGGTGTTAACAGCAAGATGTCAGATTCATGAAGGATTACAGTGCTCTTTGATCTTTAGTTCTTTAACATGCTCGATATTCTGTTTTAATCCCATTGCCTTTTATCTGACCTAAATTTTCACACTGCATTAACCAGGGAAATAAGGCTTTGTGTCCTCTAACGGGATAATAGAACAGATGCACGCTCTTCCTGTATGTGTGTGTGTGTGTGTGTGTGTCTGTGTACACTGCCTGGTGTGTGTGTGTTTACCACCCAATAATAGGAAGGTAAGAGGACAATATGATCTCTCTCTTTCTGCAGGTCAAAATGTACCAGACTAACTTTGTCAAGAGTCAAAGTACTTGATTTAATCTTGATCAACCTAATAAACACTGCAGGCGATCATGTTTGTCCCTCCTTGGTGGCTCAAATATGAGTTTCAGGGGGTGACGCGTTACCCTGTTGCCACTTCCCACCTCTGACTAATGCAGCATAAGCCTGTATGAGTGTAGCATGTTGTCATTCACACCATGCAGTCCAGGTGTGTGTCTTTATTCAAAGGCTACGTGCGTGTGTGTGTGTGTGTGTGTGGCAATGGTTTGCAGTAAATCCACAATGCAGATATTTAGTTGCTCCTGTTTTTGTGTTTTGCAGAAGATTAGAAACATGCACAACGAGCAGCTGATGGGCATCAGGGGAGAGGAGGAGATGGAGATGTCGGACGATGACATGGAGGATTCCTCCGCTTCCAACAGCAAAGACTCTGAAGACTTAGGTACAAATATTTGGGCTGACAGTGTACAAGCAGACCACCTCAAGGTGTCACTCAGACAGAACCAGGACATTCTGATGTAGCATTTCAAAATTAAAGCCCTTCAAAATCTCATTCATGAGCCAACTTCAAATCACATTCATGAGACAATTTGTCTAATTTCAGATTCGATTTTAGAGGAAATGGTGCATAGTTACAAAATCATTTCACTACAGGTGAATAGCAGACCAGCTAAAGGTGTCACTCAGAGAGAACCAGGACATTCTGATGTAGCATTTCAAAATTAAAACCCTTCAAAATCTCATTCATGAGACAATTTGTCTAATTTCAGATTAGAATCAGTTTTAGAATCAGCCTTAGGAGGTGCAGGCCCACACCATCATGTGATTCTCCTCTGTGGAGCACAGTATTGGTCTCTTGCATGTGTTCATGAAATTAATTCTGTAAAATATATTAGTATAGTAATTGTAGACAAAGTGGGGTCAATCAAATTGGTTGCAGAACAAATTGCATTACAAATGTTCACGAAGGAGCCCCTGGAAATCATAGAAACAAATCATTGAATCCTAAATCACACACACACAAACACAGTGATATCAAATCAGGGCCTGCATTACCTCTGAAGCTAACTTCTTGTAATCTGATATTAGAAACAGGCAACACAATAACAGATAAAAAGCGGTGCAGAACAGGAAATAGAGCTAATCTTTTGAAATCTCTTTTTTCTGAGGGAAAGTCGTGCCCTTTAGGCTTCATATTGGGAGTTGCTCTGTTATTATTACTGCAGTGACTCTCTGCAATGATAAATCTGATATGCGACCAACAAAAAAACCTGTGAAATTAAACAAGGAATAAGACTAGCATTGCTGAAGCTTCCTCTAATGAAACTGTGTCATATTGGAGGCATACTTTGTTGGAATTTGATAAATGATGTCGCTGGGTCTACAGAACACAACGTGCATACAGACACATAAGCACAAAGAAGCTGAAAAAGACATCTCACAACTAGAGTTATGGCTAAGGGTTTTCTGTCACAACACACAGGTTAATGAGAGAATAAACTGTCATTATTCTCCCAGCGTGGTGCGTATGTGTGTGCATGCATGCCTACAGGTGCATTTATTTGTTTGTTAGTGTTGATAACATTCAGAGCAAACACAGGAGAGATTGTACAAAGCCTTGCCAAGATGCTGGCTTTCCTTGGGCAGCAAGTTAATAAGACGATGATCAATACTGTCCTCAGCCCATCATCCATGCCTCACTGAACACTGCAGGGAGAAAACACACGTTTGCACACAGGCGGGGGTCTCCATATCTATCTTTGTAATATCATTCATTTGTAATTTAATCACGTTTCCACACATAGCTTGAGAAGGATAAAAATGATATTTCTCGACACAGAAAGACATATATACACATAACATTATGAGAGCATCAGACACTGTGATATGTTAATGTGATTCACATGTTAATCATAGAGGTGAAATTTAACACAATTCAGGATAATGTTACCGTCTAATCTATGTCATCAATTCAGAACCATTCTGTGAGAAATATTAGTCAACTAATGATTGGGTGTCTTTTTGATTTGACTGGCAGTCATTGCAACATTAGGCTCACAGTATTAGTTTATTGCAGTGGTGGAAAGAATGAGCCTTATTCACACTACTCACCGATGTCACTTTTGTTCTATTGGAAATTGACCTTCAAAGTAAAACAAACTGAAGTTCATGAAATATGCATTTATTCAAACCCCGGCAAACCCACAAGTGGTCCGCTGATTTAAAAGTTCTGTGAAAACAGGAAAATAAAAGTAAGAAGGCAAAGAGTGCAAGACAAACAACGAAAACCTTAATAAATAAGAAAGCATGGTAAAAACGTTACTGATGCTTCCACTGGCGTCAACGTGAATAACACACAAAAAGGTTAAAGCCCGGATGAAGCTTGAAATATGTGTATGTGTGCTACAGGTGGACATCAGGGACACATCAAGCTCTCCAGCTGCCCAATATGGAGAAATAGATTGTGGGAAAGACTGTGTTTTCAATAGGTACTAGTTGATTTGATTCAAGCAGCAGATGGAGAGCTCAGACTCTGTGATGTAATAGTGTTAATGTTAACTGTAGCTCCAGGAAAAATGCTTTAAGGAACCAGTATACTCCATTAGAACTTCTTGTCAGAAAATCAAGCCTCCATTGTCCTCATGTTTGAACAATATCACATCTCCCCCGTCTCTTTTTGACGGATGGCTTTCCACCCCGCCTTCGACGCCGTTTGATTCAGGTAGAAACACTATCAACGTTGCGAGTGTAACCCGGCCCTAATATCTAATAGGGTTAAGGTGGTGTATCAACCCGGCACACAGATGAACGATGGTCAGTCTGCTAGATCTGCTTTTGTCTGCCTTTAGTCACACTGAGGTCAGCGTGAATTGAATTTCTTCAGGAAAGCTAACAGGAGAAAAAGGAGAATCCCATTGAAGTCAACAGCCCGTTTAAAGATAAAAGGTGCTTTTTTCCATTTTTCAAAAGGGATTGTACTTTAGTGCCGGCATGGGAACATAATTTCTTAAACACTCTCATACTCTACATGTGGTTCACAAATGGAAAAGGGGGATAATGATTCTTTGTCTAAAAGTCTCTGGGGAGTTTCTCCACCCTTTTATTAAGAGTAAACAGAATTCATTTCGAGGTAGTGTTTTGAAAACAATTCATGGCATTTTAATGCTTTTGTATGAGGAAAAAGAATAAAGACATATGATAATGTTATTTACAGTATAAAGTCATGGATATGTTTGTACTATTATGTAATGCTGACAGATGCTTCAATTTGGCCATAAACGCTGGACTATTTGTAAATGAATAAATTGGTCGGTATGGGGTTTTTTCCCAGTGATTTTACAAGCATTCATGAATATACAACAAGAGCTTGTAATTTCAAGGATCAGTTACTTTGTACTTGTTGAAGCCTGACTTGGAGACCTACGGGGAGAGAACAATAACATTTAGACAGAAACTAGACCGATTACATCCTTTGCTAGGCCGTCTAATAATGTGTCATTGTGTGTGTTCGTGTACCGTATGAATCTCTAGGTGTTTCCCAAGCCGAAGCCTTAAAGGAGGAGAACGACTCGCTGCGCTGCCAGCTGGACGCCTACAGGAACGAGGTGGAGCTGCTCAAACAGGAACAAGGCAAGAACCAACCAATCGGCAGTGAGGAGGACAACACGCACTCTCAGCAGCTCAGCTTCCTGCAGCAGGCTCTGCAGGGCATGCAGAAGGTAAGGTGTCCCATAGAAACATATTAAAGATGCCTCAAACATCAGGGAGCAAAATAAGAAAGCAAAATAATGAATGCAAAAGACACTCAAATCATGCAAATCCCACTCTAAAATATTCAAACTACATTCATCCAAAGATGGACTGGATTAGAAAGGAAGACATTTCTTCATCTCAGTAGATGTTTTCTGTGATTCGATATTCCACCAGGCAGTCGTTATGACATGTGCAATAAGTTTAAAATGAGCTGTATATTATTGGGTAACATGAAACCAAATAGAATAAATGTCATCAATACATTCATAACCTATCCGCTGGAAAACAATATCCACCTGAAGGAGTATATGTATTGCACTTCTCCAAAAAGAGCAGCTGTGTAGCATTTTCTGTTTGGAGCATTTTCTTGCTATCAGAATAATAAGAGATCACTCGACAGTCGCTTGATTCCAAAGCACTCTTGAAACAAGCCGCTTTGCATTGAACACAGGTGAAATATCCTGGCTCAGTCATACTTCAAAATGATTTACTAATCAGGAAAAGAAGAAGCAAAACAAAAGCCCCATACCAAGGAGGTACCTCGACTGGACACGAAAACAAACCTCATCCACTTTCTGTGTGGCTGCAATCAGCGAGAGTTAAATATTTATTGCTGTTAAAGCAGCTTTAATCTTGGCATTCCTGTTTTGTTCCTGATATTGCAAATTCATCTGAAGGACTTTCTTTTTTTTTTTTTAGAGTAACTCACATCGGCTCCGGCTTATCACACCTGATAGTAATCACTGATTCAACAATCAAATCAGACTGTGCTCAGAGATATAGCAGGTCATCTTCAGGCGGCGATAACATTGCAATATTACGTGACGGCACAGAAACAAGCCGAGGCAAAGGCTTTCAGAGGAATCTGTGTTTAGCAACGCTGTCGCATTTGTCATTGCACTGTAAAACTAGTATTAAAGCAGCGGCCATTAACCTATCACCTTTTTATACCAAATGTGCAACGTGGCGGTACTATTACGCACATACAGTGGGCTATAGACCATCTAATATAGACCCAGCCTGCTTGATCCTCAGATTAACCACGTGCAATCTGCAGACCGGTCTCTTGAGAGACCTCCAGCCAGCTCACAGCGGGGTCTGTGAAGGGAAGGGCAAACCTACCAGAACAGTTACGCTAGTTATGCTACACACCTGACTTGGCTACTTCCAGGTGTATTCAAAGGCCCTGTGCACCCACACAGGTGTTTTTTTCACAGATTCTGTCTGATTACACCTCTGCTCAGGTCGATGTCCGGCTGAGGGGAAATATGTGTGAGGTCCCTAAACGCCATGTACCAATTAGAATGATTAAGGCGTTAATTGTCCCGCCCTCACAAATGCAGCAAACGAGAGTGAGACGACAGCCTGCACACACCCATGCAGTCCTGAGGAGCTGAACTGTGATCAGGTAGATTAAGTACACCTGTGTAGGTGGGAAATGACTGTGTAGGAGCTTTAAGGCTGGTCATGTCGTAATTATATTTCCAGGAGGTTCAGGATTTAAAATGAGTTCAAACCCATGTTGTCCCAAACATGTCATGTAGGCTCTGGTTGCTCTGTCCTCAGAATGTGGCGTTGATGGTTGCTGTTCACTTCCTCCAATGTGAGGATTTTATATCAACTGATACATTTGTGAGCTTGCAAACAGTTTTTTTCCCCTTTGTCATAAAGTATGAACGTACATGAAATATATATTCGTATATTAATCGAGAAAATGATCATCAGATTTATTGATAATGAAAATAAACTTACTTCCTAGTAATAATCATCCTTTAATTTTGAGATTAGATCTATATTGTTGCTTATTTGTACCGTTAATTGCTGTTTGTTTATCTTTACAACGCAGTGTGGTGAGACAAAGTCTACTGCCCTTTTTTATTGTCTTCACTGTAGTTCAATTTGGGGACAATTGTGTTTGGAAGCTGCAGGCATGTGTTTGTGGAGGGGTCGGGATGTGATGTGCATAATAGAGTTTGGCATTTAGACAGAAATTATATGATTTAAATGGCTAACACTAAAAAAAAGCATTACGTATTTGTGTCTCGGGGAACAGCATTGAGAACCACAGCTTCAGGCTATCTTGATAGAATATTACCCTCAGGAACATTTAGTTATCCACTTGAAAAAAGAAAACACTTCCTCAGGCGGCAATCCACTTATCTGATCACCTGCTGTGTTGTCAAATAGCCTCAGCTTGCAGTTACTCTTCCTTAAGCTATAAAAAATATTGTTTACAAGGCAGAGGAGCTTTTCTACACTTCCATCTCATTTGACAAAGTGCATTGTAATCACCTTTATGTAATGTGCCTCCAGCACGTGTATGAAAACATCGGTAGATAATTTGAACACTTAGTAAGTATTACCAGCAGATACGTGTATCCCGTAGGAGAGAGTTGATGTTCACTTTGAATCCTAAAAGACATTTCAATTGTCTGCTAAAGCCTTTTTTCATACATGACAAAATATATATATATTTCCTTCATTTCCTTCCTAACATTAAGATTATTAATGAAAGGTTGACTGTTGTTTTTCCAATGCTGCACAGTGCAACCAAAGTCTGTTGTTTGTCATCTATTGTAACACCAAGTGTAAATTATCACACATTATGCACCCAGACAGCGTTTTAAGTCAAGCCTCTAAATTGTATTCTGCTTATGTATGGGCGTACATTTAATAATGTGTTAAGTAGTAACATCTTTCCACCGTGTTTACACCACACTTTAATTTGCACTTTTAAAATTCGCTCCTTGTCTTATCTGCATCTTGGAAATGATGTTAGATACAAACACACAATTCAATAAGAAGTTTGTTTGCGATGAACTGACCTCAGCAAATCAGAGGCAACCAGATGTCAATGCAATTGATGCAAATGTTCACATGAACTTGAAACTTTGTTCGACTTTGATTATTTTTAATACATATAAAGCACTTTTAAACTTGTGTGTATATATATATATATATATATATTATAATGTACACATATCATAGTGCTAGATATGAGTACTAGATTTGTGCTATTTGTCAGCCACCTGTCTACTTTCCTGTACTGCAAAGTGTATACCAAAAAAAGATGCAGATGGAACACAAACCATCATAGTGTGTAATGTAAAACGATTACGATGTAATTGGATCATTCATTATCCAGACAACATATTCAGAAAAACATTTTTTAAATACTTGGTATGAACGAGGTCTCAGATATGCAGATAGGCTCAATAAGAGCAGGTCCGTCTGAATCGCTCCCCGACTTCAGACCAGTGCTCAGTGTTCACCTCACTTGACACACACTGCACAGCACCAGTGTAACTGATGAATAATTCAGCATCACTTTAAAAGGAGGAGCTGATGAGGGATTCCTTATTTTAAATATCTCCCGAAAGGAATTTTACCTTTTGATTCTCCGGAGTTAAGATTGGGACCCTGCATCAGACAAACTTGTTCTCCTTCTGTCAACGGTCAGCTGGTGAAACATGGCTAAACTTCTTCTCCTCCTCCTCCTCCTCCTCTAGCAACTTCTGAGAATGAGGGACGAGTTGAAGGAGCGAGAGGCAGAGCTTGAGAAGAATATAGAAGACAAACAGCAGCTGAAGAACCAAATCCATGACCTCACATCAGGACTGCACAACCTGCAGACTACACACACACTACAGGTTAGAAGAAAACAAGCACAGGCTAAGTCAAGGGAAAAATGTGTGTTCATGTGTTTGTGTAAATGGTAATAATGAATCTTTTAAAAGAAACGGGCCTCATTTGTGGTCTAGTTAGAAAGAAATTACTTCATAACGACTTTCAGTGCATGACGAATGTTGCATATTGGAAAGAAATATTCATTTAAGTGAAGATTTTGGTGCATTTAAAGTGGTGTTTAATGATTTGTCGCTGAATCAACCCAGCACAGCAGATGAAAGATGGAAGGTCCCCCAAAAAGCAATTGATAACCAACAAATAGATCTTCGATATTAACCATGACTTTACAAATTAAAAATGGCAGATAATCTGAAGTACCTAAAAGACCATGTCACTATGATTTAACCCATCATTTAAGATGCAGGCTTCAAAATAAAGGAACAGATAAAGTGACTGAAATCAGAATCCTGTTAAAATTGCATGAAGTAACCTGTTCTCCAATTAACCTGATTACTGCAGTGCATGCAAACGCACTACGTGAGATAATTTAGATACAATTATAAATGCTGGATTACATGCTGCCTTATTTCTTGTGAATTATATGTGCGTATTTTAAACCCACCATTAACAATGAAAACTACTTAACGGAGAGGTAATTACAGAATGTTAATACGTTGGATAGCTATTGCTGAAAATAATGCTATTAATACTATCAAAAATGGGGTTTGATGTTGTGAAAAGTATTATAAATGAACTTTAGTTAAATATTAAAAGGGAATCACACATAATTGAAGAAGTCTTAGTGTTTCCTGTGAGAAACTTCAACTGGATATATTTTGCACTTTTAAGATTTCACTCCCAATTTCGGACTCGGATCAAGATACAGCCTGTAGCCGTTCCCTGTGTGGGAGAAGGCTTTTGAGGCCACATAAAATCCTTCAATGAACTTTTACACCCAAACGAGATTTATTTTACAATATGTAGTTCTGAAGCGGAAAATGTTTGCATATCTTGGAAAAATGACCCCGGTTACGATCGTGCCATCGCTGTCGTGTCCTCCATTTCATACTTGTAACGCTGAATGATGATGTAACATCAAAAAGTAGGAAAAAAAAAAACATGCCACAAGGTAACTGAGATTAGAAACTTGAATGTGAAGTAAAAAGAGTGTCGTCTCCTGTGTTTACCATCAAGGTGCCCTTGAGCGATGAACAACTCTCATGAGGCTGCTCATACGCTGACAGGAGAAGACTGTGATAGTACAGAGCAGCTCAAAGGCAGTTTGCGTGTTACAACTGTCCTGGAAACAAAAGCTGTGAAGAGACAAAACTGTCCTGAACCGTAAAGTGAAATATTCACTGCGTCTCTACTCCCAATCTACAAAGATGCCGTTTTTTTGCAGGTCACTTATTGACATACAACAAAGATTGTATTGGATTGCAGCTGTGCTCTGTTACCTCTTGCTGGCCTGTTTTGGCTCAGCATGGGAGCAGAGAGAAGAGCGGATATGAGATCGAGCCTCGAGTTCAGTCAGCTATGTAATTGGATAATTATAATACTAAAATGGTACTGTCAAGTGGTGCCTGATGACTCTGGTGGTTTGCTGTCTGCCCTTGTGTCATATTTTTGATTTACAGAGCTGCTGTAGTTAGTTTGCTTTGAGCAGATTGGAAGGTCGCTCAACTGCGGATATTTAAACTTTGTGAATTAGCTTTTCTCTTTTCTTTGTGCCCTCTTCTCACTGAGAGCGATCTATGCATGTGGCTCCTCGAGAGGAGCAGTTTCTTGGCTGATGAATATGTCCCGTAGATCTCAAGAGCTCGCACTGGGTCCTCAGCAATACATCCGCTTAGTGTGAAGTTGTTTGGATGAACGGTTGCCAAGGAAATCAAAGGACCTCCTCTTTTGGCATGGCTTTTAAAACAGGTCAATAGTTATTTCCAGGAAATGATGAGGAAATTGTTCTGAAATTATGGATCCTTCAACTTAAGTGTTAGTTGCATGTCTGTGTATGTCAGTTATCGTGCAAGTCTGACTCCTGATGGGTAATAGACTACAGTTTTACAGGAAATGATGATGTTCTCTCTGCAGGTACAATATATTTTTGCTTTAGCTTCTCTAGCTGTTCCACTAGTTCTGCTGGTGAGGATTTATTTTCACTCCTTCCATATGCATCTCTCCCCATCCTGCATAGAAATTCCCTCTGTATATAAGCAGAGCTGTATAGCAGCAGAGATACTTTATCATCTGGACCCCAGTGAGGAGCACGTTGTCCTCAGGTGGCGTTAAGGAGATGGCAGGATCTAATGTTTGACTATTTCTGTACAATCGCATGACAAATACGTACAAGCTCTTTATGTCTCTGGAGCAAAACTCCTCCTTCTGGACTTTTTTTGAGTGTTCGCGTGCATCACCATGTTGTGATGTTTTTTTTCATACTATCCTGCCCTGCCCTGGCTCGCTGGGTGCTAAACACCGCACCAAAAGTTCATATTCATTCAACTCTGCACTCACGTGTGACTGACCTTTTGTGAGCGCTGCCTGTAGCTGTACCAAAAATGGACAAAAAAGTCAGTTCGCCAGGTAGTCAGAAGCAAGGAAGGCAGGTTATAAAAGTTGCATGTAGCTGGCAACAAAGTCACAGCAACATCTTTGCTTAAGCTATAGATAATTTACTGTAACTGGCAATTATAAAACAGCAGCATTTTAACTTTCCAAGAGCCCTTTGTCAGTGAGAGACTCACAAGTAGCAACATGAGGAGCGTCGGTCAGCAGAGAGAAGAGGAACACGAATGTAGTGCTTCATCTGGAGCTTGACAAGTGGCAGTTTCATCACTCTCCCCTACCTCTTGTTTCCCAGCAAGTAACCTTGACTACACATGTAGAACATCCCCACTCTTCCAAATGCAGGACTGCCTCAACTTCCACCACAACCACCACACTGGGATCAGCCCTATACACATAGCACAATCCCAGTGAGTAAGGCTACAGCAAACACTCCTACTGTCCCTCTACTTGCCACTGAAAAGGTAAAAGTGTTTCCGCCCTTACAAGGAGGATGTCTTGGAAGAAGTATCCACTTCCAACCAACAGGCAGTGTGGTTAAAGTTGGTAGTCATCGGCAGGGCCGATAAGTGACAAGAAATTTTAATACACAATTGTCAAAGATATGTCTGCGGTGTAGTTTGTAGTTTGAGTGCACTGACAAAAATAAAGAGGCTATAGTTTATATTTTTATGATGACAATGTGACAATGTTAAAGGGGTCACTCGTAGCTGAATCTGCAGTTCTCCATCCATGTTTTATGGAGCTTTGTAAAAAGTTTCAGCTCATTGTTTCGCTGTCTGGCGCACAACTTTACCCTCACCGATCTTTAAGTGTTGTTTTTGGCTGCGACAGGCAACTATTTTAAGAGAAAAATCTGCTGAATACCTGCTGAATACCAAACACAGTTTAACAGTTAGAAAAAGCCAGCTATTTCCCTCAGGAGTTGGTAGAGACCAAAAACAGAGCTACAAGAAGAGCGGATATATTACATATACAATTTTAAGTCCATCAACTTAAAGGTAATAATATGTCAATTCTGTGTACACACCTTGCTTCTGCTGCCCCCTAGTGACCAAAAAACGGTTAATGTGGGTTTTAATAAGTCCTGCTCTGTACATATCTGGGTCACAATGCTTTAATAATCACATATAAGCGATCCTTATCAAAAATGTTCTCCTTATCGTGAATGTATCTCATCAGTTTGCCAACCCTGTCTCCTACAACATCACATTCCTATACAACCAAACGGAACTCTCAATTACGTTTGGAGGGAAACATATGATCTTCTGGACCGAACGGTCACAGTTTTAAACAGTTTGAAAACACTTAAACTAAATAAATGAAATGCTACAAAACTACTTTGTTAGATTTAGTAAAAAACTTCATGGGTTTGTTTAAAATTCCGAAATTGAAACGCATTAAAATACAACATAATGTTCAGGCAACAAAAAGTATTTTGTTCACACAGGACAGGAACGTCAGTCCTCTGTAGCTCTGTGTTTTGTGACCCATCCACCACACCAACCTTATCCCTGTGCAGACTTCCACTGATTCCTTTGAAACGTATTTGTGATATAGCGAAAGCAAATGTAATCCACAACAAAATAGGTTTCCCTCGAATGCAGTTTTGTTGTGTGGGAACGTAATTTTCAGGAGACAGGATGGCAAATTACCTTCACTGAGTCACTGATTCCTGCTGTCACTAAGTAGTACTGGATCTACATTAGATCAGGTCACAGTGACTTTACCTGTCTCATTATGTAATGCAGCAATATACACCCTATCATCAATATCAGTCCATGTTGGAAAATAAAGACGACTGGAGCGGCGTAAATATTAGAATACAGATTTATTTACCGAAACCTCTCGTTTTATTCAACAAGGGCAAAGAAACTAACAGTTTCCTCTTGGCATACACTATAGGTGGAGAAATACATTAACATACATACACTGAGACATACATTATGCCAGCACATTGTACGGGGCATCAGCTGCTCTCACACAATGTGACAGTTCAGTGCAGTGTTTACATCGGATGGTAGATTACGTATTCATTCACCGTGTGCATTCACGCTGCATCGCAGCTGTCAGCGCTGTATTATTTCCTAATACTGTGTATCTGCTTAATAATGCCGTTACCATATCTGTCACCTTGTCTCCTCCACTCATCTACTCTCAAGATGTAATCTTTCATCATGCACCTGTCAGCACTGTTGTCATGTCATTGCCGCCTTCAGCCAAGAGAAGCTACTTTAGTCATTTTCAACAGTATGTCAGTGACAGTGTGTCATCCTAAACAGCGTGTTTCCATTCAAATGCACTTAGAAGGTATTTTTTAAGTGCACACATTATGTGTTGATGCAACTGTGATTAAATAAATCTTTTCACACAGCACCGCAAAGCACTGAGTATGTTTTATTTACACAATTTGACTTTTCTTTATCTGACTCTTCTTTATCTGACTCAGCCTCAGAAACTTGAACAGAAAAAGCCCCTCTGAGACTAGGCTGTGGTGCTGCTGTGAGTGTGTCTGTGAGAGTCAGAGAGGGATGGAGAGACAGTTTTGGTGTGTCTGATTGCATTAGTGGGTGATTTGTTTCTCATTGGCGTTTCCTCTCATTTTTCTAATTGACTCTAGCCGGAGACGTTAAAGCAAGATGACAGAGCGAGCGAACAGACTGCTAATCAAGACAGTGTAAGTGTGTGTGTGTGTGTGTGTGTGTGTGTGTGGGGGGGGGAACTCTCACTACTTTATTTTTACTTATTTCACCTCCTCTCATCCCCTCCTGTAACCCATTACATTACAGTCATTTAGCGGACGCTTTTATCCAAAGCGACTTACAATTCAGAGTCTATCACATTTCTACACCGTAGGCACAGCTACGGGAGCAATTTTTGGGTTAAGTGTCTTGCTCAAGGACACATCGGCATGCGACTAGCGGAGCCGGGGTTCGAGCCGCCGACCCTCTGATTGAAAGACGGCCCTGCTATCCACTTAGCTACAAACCCCTCCACTGACATGAAATATGATTACAAGCCAACCTTCACAGGGCCTGTACTTGTCACTGACTAAATCACCCGGACACAACTGTGTTAGAAAATGAAGGACCAGCACACAGTGCAAGTACATACCTGCACACACTCTCACATTAAACCAGAACTTGACAACAAGGCCACTGCGTGCTGATTAGACTAGACTTTGGAGAGGAAGCCACGATTCTCGTTTTAACAACTTCACTCATTAAGACATGAATGTTTTTTTCTGCGACACGCACACATCCACATTTCCTCCTCTATCCTCACTTCTGTGTATCAGGCTGTCACAGGTTCACAACAGCTTGATCATTAGCATCGTTAGCGCTTCCTCTGTCTTGTTTTGTTTTTAACCTTCATCAGAACTTTAGCTGCTGGCTTCATTCTTTAGCTCCTTCGTCTTGCTGTCTTGTCCTTATTTTTATGGTGATTATTTTGGGTTTATTTTCAATTTGTTTGCATTCGCTTATAGTGCAAAACTCTTTGCATGCTTACTGAAACACCCTCAAATGTGAGACTGTTATCTACCCAGAGCCCTGTTTAGATGTTTCTGTTGCATCAGTGTTTAATTCAGGTACGATGTGGTTCTTTCAACATTGTTTTGTGATCTTTGTTTTTCTGCAGGATGTAACGGCATCATCAGTGGTGTCCTGCAGTCAGGACAAAGAAAGTCTTCCAGAGAAGAATCGTCCCGGTCCTGTACACACAGAGAGGGATGCACTGCTAGTCGGTATGCTGCCTCCATGGCATCACTGCATTTACAAAATAACAATATATTTTTTCAAGGTTGAAATTGTCTTTCTGACCACACCTCCACAATATGGCTTAACAATGAATCACACATTACATAAAAACTGAATTACATGAAAGCTGCATGCCCTGAGTGTCATGGTTGGGACGAAAGTCTACAGATGAGGTACTTATATTATAATTAGGATTAGGAGTACAGTTATAAACATCCTGACAGACAGTTTTCATCTTTTGTTCACTCAGGTTGAGACTCATAACTGTGGCAGCTATTTAACAGTCATTTATTCACAGTGCAATCAGCACTTTTGGCAGTTATAGCCACGGCTTGGCTCTGGGGCTATGACAGTCAGTCGGCCCACTGCTTTGGTGAAGTTTAAAATATCTCAACTATCAGATGGATTGCCATGAAGTTTGGATCTCCATGGTACCCAGAGAGATAATCCTAATGACTTTGGTGATTCCATGAATTTTTCTCTCGCGCCATCATCAGGTCAAAAATCCACTTTGTTTCTTTGGAAAAAAAGTACCTGCAAAACTAGATTCACATCAGCCCCAGCTGTACATTGATTAGCAAATGTTAGCATTCTGCTACTGCCACGGCGGCTACGAGGCAGACGGTTTAAATAAATAACAATCGAGATAAGAGAAAAAAGCTCATATAAATAATAAACTGTCGAAAACACTGAAATATTTAATAATTTTAGTTTGCCTTCAAATAAAACCGGAAAATATTAAATTGAGCAGAAGAGGTTATGTTGATTTACATTTGTGAGAAACAATTTTCGTTCAATGGTGTCTCGGGCCAGTAAAGTCTTGATAGATACAGTCATGTGATTCAGAGAAGACGTGTTGAGTTTACATCAGTGTAAACAGTCTGCTGGTAATGGCCTAATTGATCGTTAATTTAGTAGGCATTGTGCAGTACATACTGACTGAGGATGTGGTAAACAGTACATAAGTCTGCAGCTCCTTAAAACTGACCGGCAAGACCTGCTCTACATGGTGATGATGGCGCAATTATATTATTATTGTTGTTTTACATGTTATTTGAATTAGGGTTCGATATTGAGCTAAGCACAATTTTCATTAGGCCATCGTGCCACCAAAGCAATAACAGGATTTGTACCAGATAACAGGGATACCTTCCAATTTAAAGAAATCCATTCCACAATGCAAACAATTATGGCCCAAACAGCAATATAACATAATTAGTTTCACAAAGGGAGTACGTACTACAGTACATATACAACATTGCTTGTTGTTCACTTTTTCTTATTGTCAACCCTTTGTGTAACATAACGTCAACATGCACCATTAATGACACCTCTACAGCAGCTGGATTTCTCTGATTTGCTTCAGTTGCTTTGACGTAATAACTATGCATAATTACAAAGCCATTAGAGCGAGAGAGGAGGAAGATACGAAGAGAGAAAGAGCCCACTTTAATCATTGGATTACATAACACAATATAACTTTATGATAATGGGAAATATGGCCGACATCTATCTCCCCAGTGTGTTATAAACTACATTATTTATAGAAGTAAACAAAGCCTCGTCCTATTTTGCTGCTTGTTTTCGGGCACGCTGCATTTTCACACATTAATTGTCAAGGACATCCGTTGGCTCAAAGCATGAAAGATAAAATTTGCTTGTCAGGGAGTAAAAAAGAAATGCAAATTGTGCCATAGATTTTCACCTTTAGACCTATCTGTATCTGTCCATTTGTGTCCTGTTCTACTGTTCCTCCAGTGCAATCAATATCTGCATCTGCTGTCTCATAGCAGTTAGTTAGGTAGTCAATGATGCTTGTCCCCTGTTAATGTCCACTCAGGCTGTGTGCTGAGGCAGAAGTGGGTAATATTAAAGATGCTGGCACCTTCTTATGTCCGAATCACTCCTCTTGACGTCTTGTTTGATGCTGAGTTAAAGTGAGTACCGCAGGAAGAAAAAGGTACACTCAGCTCCTGAAGGAAAACGTTTCATCAGGAAACAAAGCTTTGAATCTCTTTGCCTTTTCACTCCGTCCACACAGTGAATGCAGATGAACACAGTTGTGTACTCTTGAGAAAAATAAAAAAAGTATACAAGATGTTGTTTGTATTGTTCAGCTGCAAAGGCCTTTCCAAGACCACTTATTGTGCTTCTGAAAACACATTTCAAATCATATGCTATGCACTGTGAAAGTATAATTCTGTTTTATTACAACTTGGTTCTTAATTTTTTGCCAATAATCAATAAATTCATTCTTTTCTTCTCCTTAATTTGATAAACTGATTAACCCATAAGATCACTTCCATTATCTTCGCAAAGAAAATTAATGAGATTGCAGTTTTCTTTCAGGACAAAGTCTTAGTATTTTTAACACAACATTGGATTTATACTATCTTTACCTTTTAAACAATATGTAATAAAAAATGTCATGTGTAACTGCCAGCACACAATGACCTCATTGACAAGAGCTCAAATACAGAGATTCTTTGTTTCCATCCACAATTTTAAATCAGTAGGGTTCAGACCCACAAGGGTCAGTCCTTGGTCCACTACTTTTTAATCTGTACATGATCCTACTAACAAATATCATAAAGAATCATCACATATCCTATTATTCATAAGCAGATGATACACCGCTCTATATCTTTCTTTCTCTCATTGAGACATTACAGACATACAGTAGGTTGTTGGGCGGCAAAAACTCTTCTCACAGCTAAACACAAATACAACTGAAATTCTTCTTCTTGTTTGTCCAAAAAGCAGCAATAGAAAATTACTTCTTACCTTTTATCCCGTAAGCCTTTTAGTGTTGTTTTTTAAGTCTTAATCGATGGTTTCCATAATATTTTTGTCTCTTCAGCCTATTTTAGTGGCTTTTATTTATTTGAACATTTATTGTTCTATTTTATTGTTGTTTATTGTTTATTTATTTAATATTTTTTATTCTTATCTATGCTGTTTTAATCTTGCTCTGTAAATCACTTTGGGCTGCATGTTTGATTGAAAGGTGCTTTATAAATAAAGTTGAGTTGAGTAACCTAAAAGCCAGTTGGCAGGTCTGAAACCTGGGTGTCATCCTGGACGCTGACCTTAACTTTGAAAATCACATGTCAAATATTACAAAATCATTCTACCACCTGAGAAATATATCAAAAGTGAAAAGATACATATCTCAGATTGATTCAGAGAAACTGTTTCATGCTTTCATTCTCAACAGATTAGATTACTACAATGCCCTTTTCACTGGAGTATCAATTCAATAGAGCTAATTCAACTCGTACAGATCAGCCACCAGAGTTATTACCGGTACAAGAACATCATGACATTACTCCAATACTTCAATCACTTCATTGGCTTCCCATTCAACAGATAATTCACTTCAAAATCCTGCTATTGGTTTTTAAGGCACTACAGGTTCACCTCCCCGGTATATTTCTCAGCATCTATGTCTTCATCAGATCTCTCAGTTCTTCAGACGGTGGCTCTTTGGCTGTAGCCAGAATCAGATCTGAAGCTGTTAAAGAGGCCTTTAGGAGCGAGGATGTTCGACATCCACGATGTCCTTAATGGTAGCTTTGACCCTGCACCTTAATATCTGATGTGTGGCAACATTGCTAAAAGACATCAGGCCATGAGGAAACAATATGATTAGACTTTTAAAATATAAATTCATTTTATTTAACTTCATGAGATATTCTAGGCTATTTCTGCAGTAATTGCATTGAACTTGGTGATGTCTGTGCTGGGATGTTTCCTTATCAATCCCTGTCACAACCCCAACAACATAATGGGATTTTTGATTGAAGTAGGTCATCAACACAAAGATAACCACTCCATCATCACTATCTTTTAGCATTCAGCAGTACATACAATCTGTGTGTTAATTTGTTTTTTTGGTTTAATTTTCTTTATTTGCTTATTGACTAACAGAGAGACATGTTCATAAATTGTTCCCAGATCTCATCAGTTACGTACAATCTTAGCACAAGTCAAGAAAAAACAAAATCAAGACACAAGTTGTAATAAATCAGGAACAATCCCTCAAGTTCCTCTTGTTGTTCTGCATAGAAAGACTGAACTAGCTCTCCTAGTTTGCATGTTTTTCCTGTTGAGTTCATGCATACGAACACATTTAGGTCAACTCATCTGAGAACCACCACCACCCAAATCTCAGCTGGTTTCATAGAAGCAGATGAAAGACAACGGCATTAAAGCCATCATCAAACACTCCCTCTAATCTGGAGCCACAATATAAAAGAACCTCTTGACAGTGTTAGGAGTCTAGCATAAGCCACTCGATGCATCCTCGCTTGTTTCCAGTCAAGCAAGAGGAGGCAGAATAATACAAACTGATTTCTTGAGTGTTCTGCCGTGGTTCGTGGTTTAAAGTCATGTTATACGAGCGTGAGAAACTCAAAGGCTGGAGCTTTGTGACAAGCTGTGTCTTTGCATTGTGACAGTTTAATTAACATTTCTACTTGACCTATTTGTTCTACCTCAGGGATCATTTCAACCTTCCTGCACGTTCACCCATTTGGAGCCAGCATCGAGTACATCTGTTCCTACCTGCAGCGTTTGGACAACAAGGTAACACACACACACACACACACATACAGTATCCTAGACATAGTGACACAGGTTAAATTTCCCTGCAGGGCTGACATATGGGCCTGCTGTATGCCAGGGTCCTGCTGTGCCATTTTAGTCTCCTGGCATGCAAACAAGCCTGAGGTGCAGGTGAGAGCCATCACTTACTCTTAGATTTTTTGAGCCTTTGTTTATCTCAGCAAAGGTTGGTGAACAGGCACATAAATGTAAAGCTGCACTGCTTCACGCTCATACACCTGTTACTAACCAATAGGTTATAGGCTAAAAACACGGAGGTGTTTAAGTTGAGACGTTCGGGGCTCTTTCTATATCATCATTTTTCACCAGATTAGTTGTGCAGTGCAGAATAAAGCTTGACTGATGCTCCACAGGTGTTATATTTTACCTCTGTTTTTGTAAATAGTGTTCTTGTTTTTGTAATGTACATAATGTTTTCGGATTGTCCGTCCGTACCCTGACGGTCCTTTGTTGTGAACGTGGTATCTCAGGAATGCCTTGAGGGAATTCCTTCAAATTTGGCACAAACATCCACTTGGACTCAAGAATGAACTGATTAGAATTTGGTGGTCAAAAGTTACTGTGACTTTACAAAATTTATTTTTGGCCATAACTCAAGAATTCATGTGCTAATTACGACAATTTCACACAAATGTCTATTAGGATAAAATTATGAAGTCATGACGTTTTGGAAAGACATGAATGTAAACTGCAACTTGACTTGTTGCCAGAGCCACACAATGGCGAGGCGGTAATTATAGTTTTCCAGTTTTCTTATGGTGAAATCAAAATCATATTTCACTATTTAATTCATTTAGTTACATGGTTAAACTATGTTATTTTGTTGGCAGCTAAACTGTTAGATACATGTATGTGGCAGTAGAAAATAATTCAATTCAGAAAATGAAGTTGTCTAGATCACTGCAGGTGTAATCCGAATACGGTAACAAATACAGATGTTTTTGTGACATGAACAGATGCAGATAGTACCTTTGTGTTAGTTACACAGCCACACTGTGAGTTGCCTGATTCAACAACATCACCAAATCCCAACAGCTGAGTAAAGCCACAGTTGTTTTTGCATCAGGGAGGCAGGTTTAGGTGTTTTCTTCTGACGCGGATCGAAGAACTGCTGACCTTACTTGTGGTTAAAATTCTTGATTTTTCTCGACCTTTAAGACCGCGTTAAAACTAGAACCTCAATGTGTAGCTAAAGTTTTTCTTTGCTCCGTAAGAGCCTTTCTGTTTCTGTCATGTTGCCGTTATCACTTTCTAATTTTATCACACATCCCCACTCGCCCAACTTATTGATGAATATATTCATGTTCTGCGTCCCACCTGCTGCTGCCTGCCTCAGCCAGTTTAGGCTGTTAGTCAGCCTGATTTCTCTGAACAAGACGACACATTTGAGCTGATTCCTGGTTTATAAGTCAGCTGGGCTTTGTCGTCACCAAATCTCTAAGACCGTTCTTCATTTCTAAATGTGCTCTGATTACCTCCTGCTGCTCAATTTCACTGCATCTGACTGGCACCTTCAGGATGAGAACTCCAGTTAATATAACGCTGTTAAAGTGTCTTCTTTTGATTTTATTAATAAAAGTATTGGGTTTCTCACCAGGCACTCATCCAACAAAGTGTAATATTTAAGACAGCTGGTGTCATTTTGTGGGATCTGATCCCACTTGAAACCTTCAACCAGAGAGGAAAATTAAACATTAGCATACATATACAAATGTTTGGTTCTAGATCCTAAATATATATTTAGGAGCATTGCTACTCATTCTTAGACAAGTATACAAGGAGCAGAACATGTCAACAACAGTTCAACAATTTGGGAAATGAAGCTACAACTTATTGTTTTTACTCTTCAGTTGTTGCACGGATTAAACAAAGTAGCATGAAGATGTTAATTAGTGAGCTTTAAATGTGCTTATAATCAGGTTGTTTTTACTTTTGATAGTTTTTTCCCCGTTTCCAGTCTTTATGCTAAGCTAAGCTAACCGTCTCCTGGCTCAAGCTTCATATTTATCTTACAAGCTATCTTACAAGTTATCTTACGAGTGATTTCAATCTTCTCATCGAACAAATTAGTGCATTTTTCAAAATGTCTAACTAATGCTTGAAACATGTATGTGTAGATGTTTATGTGTCTTTTTGCACATGTTTGGCATGCATTGTACATGCTTGTGTTGCATGTTTGAGATTTTGTTAAAGTCTGTGTGTGGCTGTTTGCCTGTTGTATCTGTTGTTTCCACACTGACTCTGAACATCAAGCAGCCCACAGCGTTTTGTCAATACCACTGGCTGGACTGCCCGTCAACAAACCCAATCCTCTCTGCTTATCTGCCGGCTCCACACACAGCTCCATTGTCTGTAATGATACACCAGTCCTATCTCCGTGATGGGCCTTAATGTATCCTGACATCAGCACCGGGCTCCAACAACCTAGTTATTAATGCAAGACACAGTGGGTTGCCTACAGCAGCTCGTGCAGTGGATTTCTGTCTCTACTGTCACCTTGGCCTCGCTGCTTCTCCTCAGCCCACGCAGGGGGGGGGGGTGTGAGCCGGTGTAGTTCCTGTCATGTAGCTCATATTGTCTTGATGCTTGCCCTTTTCATCTGAATTAAGTGAAGGTGTGAGAACTGAGTGCAAGCATAATGAAAATGAAGAGCAGAGGTGTAAGATGATGTGTGAGATTGTCTGTGTTCATTTGTGTGAGAAAGTAGCTTTGTGCGACAGATGCGTGCGTGTGTGCGTTTCCGCAGATTAACACCGGTGATGTGGAGGCTCTTCTTTCCCGGCTGCCCTGCACCTTCAGACAGGAGCTGACCGGCGTCGGAGCCAGTCTGGAGAAACGCTGGAACTTCTGCGGCTTCCAGGGCATCAAGAGCACGTAGCCGGTGACGCCTCTGGGACATGGAAGAGAGACGACACAGGCAGATAAGTCAGCACAGGTACACGAAGGGACACTCTAGAAATGTGGAGGAAGCCCACAGCTCATGGAGATGCTGGACTCCACCTGCAAAGTCAAGAGCACAAATTATTCAGCGCAGATGTCAGATCAGAAAGGGTTGTTCTGTGTGGGTGACAGAGAGACAATGGACAGGTTTTTGTGGTGGCAAATAATTTTGCGGCATCTCTAGTGACCAAGAAGTGGATGTATCTCTAGCCGCGTCATCTCTCACTCTCACTCTCTCACTTTTTGTTTACTCATGGGAAGTAAAAGTCCCAATCTCAGCGGAGTCACAGGATTGGTCGGATTTTTATACTCGAGCCCACAGTCGGCTCAGCGCACTGGCAGACTGGACTAAAGGGCTACACAGGAAGGTCGTCAGGGTCCACGTTCAACCTCAACACTCTCTGGCTTCCTTTTTTGCCACTTTTTGAGTACAACCATGTGAAAAACACGAGACAGATGCAGCGATCGGGTTGGTTTTAAGTTATTTAGACATCTCTGTGTTAAATTACACTCATATATATATATATATATATATATATATATATATATAGTTCTCAGTTGGACAATGGGGGTAATCAGCAAAAAGAGGAATCAAGAATCGAGTGGGACCCTAAAATGCTGCAAATGTTAAAATGAACATGTTATGATCACACCATTTCTTTTATATAAATCAAGAAAAAGAAGCCTATTGGCTATCAGACGACATTCACGCGGTGCCTTCCAGGTGTGGTTTATTCAACAAAGACAGGCTATTTTCTTTTGCGCAATTTAATTCCGAATTACTGAATGTAAATTGCAACCAATTCTTTTCTTCTGCTGCATTCATGATTATAGTTGCGGCCGCGTATACCCTCAGATGATGATTGCGTTCCCTGCTTCATTGTAGCACAATGTGAGAATGAGCCTCCTTTTGTTTTTCCATGCAAATTTATTCAAGGCACTCAGTACAAACAGTTAATACATGTCTGAAAAACATTCGTGATGAAGATGGTCGATGCGTTTATGGTGGAAAAACAATTTTGAGCACATCAAAGGCAGTGGATTGCATTTAAAATTACAGCATCAGGTGGTTTTGTTGGCTTAAAAAAGTGTCTTAAAACAGATGAAATAATGGGACAAAACCTCTGAAAGTGGTGGATTCTGGGGAAATGTCTGTCCACGTTATTATCCCAGTTTCTTATACTGGACGATATGAATCTGCCTCATTTTTTTATGTAATATTCGGGTAAATGTACATCCGTCATGAGCCAAGCCGGATCTCAAACCATCCTGAAGATGAGCCTCTACTGCCATCTATTGGAGGAATTCAACAATCAGAGCTTTACAACTGTCTGTCCCCTCGTCTCAATAAAGTGTGCGATATCTGAGAAGGTGCTGTTCTGTGATTGTATCAGTTAAGTATTTAGCTTTTAATATCGAGGAGGTTCAGTAGAATGAAAACTGTTAATTCAGTTCCATTAAAGGGATATATTTTGTGTAACAACAGTTTGATTTAATCCAAACATTACTATGCACACAACTAATTTATACTAACATACCCGATCTTGTTACATGTCTCCTCAGAATGAAAACAGACGTTTTTCACATCTAAACGATGAAACGCATATCTTGTGATGTCTGACTTCAGTGTTTGGTGCATCAACGTGAGGTGACACTTCACTCTGCATGTTTTAACATTTGAGAAATTCTTCCTCACTTCGTTATATGATGATGGGTTTTCTCTGGGGGTAAAACACATCACACTTTATACTCAAGTAGGACGCAGATCAAGCAGCTCTCTATTACACAACATGATGCGTTTGTGAAAGCACATCAGAAGAAACTCCTTCATGACTATATTGTTAAGTGAAATAAAGATGCAGTAATGTTACAATCAGCTACATTGATGGTAAATGTGTGATGAACAAGGAGAAAGCTTCTGCGGGTGTAAGTGGTCGTCCAGTCCCCAGCAGAGTGCTCGCGTCCACATATTGAAGTCCAAATGCATTTTGTTTAGTTGTTAACACATTTATTGAGTTCTCAGTCTGTTCCTCTCTCCAACTGGAGAAAGTGAATCCTTTCATACGGTGAGCTCTGTCGTTCTACATGTGCTGGGCGTCCATGATATCCAGGTACTTGGCGTCGATGACTCGGGGAAGCAGGCTGGTCCTGAGATAAAACACAGAGAGACACTGTACAGTTACATGTGTTCTATGGAAATATATAAAATATAAATAAATCCATCAGATCCAAACATTAATTCAGACAATTGTTGCATTACAAAAGTCTTTCAAACCCCACGCCCTCAGTTTTTAAGGCTAAAAATGTGCGGTCTACAAGAAAACCATCTGTTTTTACTAGTAAACTGATCCTCATGTGTAAAACCTGTGGAGTGCCCCTTTAAAAACAGCTCGGCGTGAATCTCAGCCTAACGTCAACTCAATGCAGACGTTCACTGTGTTGGTTTCCACGGCCCCGCTCTGCCCCCTGTTGGCCCGGGTCGTCTCACCTGACAGGGACCAGCAGGATCATCATGAGGGGGAAGACCATCTTCATGTAGGGCAGAGGATACATCCCAAACGCACACAGGACGATCAGCTGGATCATCTGCAGCGCTGTGAAGCAGTGGATCTTCCTCTGAGGCACACGGCGAATGTAGTGAGTAGGAGGATAGGAGGTCTAGACAAAGGAGAGCGAGTATGATGTGGTTATAATGCTGTTTTGAATTACTTATTTTGTTTTGCTAGTATAAAAGTGGACTGGCTGAAAGCCATTGCAGCTGTAAAGGCAATATGTTTATGTAAATACTCTTGTTGTAGAACAAATGAAAAATCTGGTGGTTTTCCATTATTATTTTATGGTATTTTTCATGTGAAAGTGTTTTTTAGAAACCCTATGATAACTTCAATTTATTTCATGTTTTCTCATAACAACAAGAAACTGAGCAGGATACTTTTTCTCATAGTGGTGTAAAAGTTGAAGTAACTTTAAACCTAAACTTTCTCTGCCCACTGAATATCTGGACACCAAACTTCTTTAAACATCCACCACTGGGTGCCATTTGGGGCAGTCGTCATTTGAAGTTCAATGGATAAACAGGGAAAACAAACAGATCAACCAATCAGATCACAGTGTCCTCCCTGCTCACCTGTTCCTTAAGCAGCAGGGCTATGCGGTCCACCATCTGGTTCCCATCAAGCGAGGTGGCTGCGATGTAGAGGAAGAGGCCGTAGAGGACGGGCTTTGGGATCCACTGCAGAGGAATGGGCAGCATGAAGGCAGACAGGCCGATCAGGATGTTGGCTGCTAGTGAGGTCAGACGAGTCTCCTGCACACTGACAATACTGTTTGACACAAAGGCAGAGAAAAGTCGCTTTAAATATACCAATAAACACTTCTTATCCGACTAGAGAACATGCCAATTCTTAATTAACAGCTTTTTGTAACCGCTAATCACATGTTCTGGCCTTAGTGTGATTGTCAACTTAAGAATGATTTTAACTTTAGGAGCCCGAAACAGATGAAAGTATCTAGTATATCACAAGAAATAGAAACATGTCCTAAATTTTAATTTATGTTTTCCCTTTTATCATCTTGTTACCCCTCTGGGTTTTTCCAGCTAAATGACAATGATTTAACTCAAATATCTTAAAAGAAAATGGGAATTATAAATTAATTTCCAATCTGCATGCAGTATAATTATGCATTATTAAAATGTGATCAAATGGTCAGCTTTATATTTTTATATTTCTAAAAGTTAATTATTTCTATTGCTGTTTATAAACATTCCACCATTACATCAAAAGACTCCAACTGAAAATGAATGAATAAATAACAGAAGGAAATATTCAGGGTTTGCACACTAAAATAATCATCAAAACGCTTTTTGATCTATATTCTTTCAGACCAAACAATCTCAAAGTCCACTTAAATATTTTACATTTCATTTTGAAATGAATAATGCAGAATCCATCACAAACTTCACTAAATAACTATTGAATCATTTTAGTCAGTGTTTGAACCTCTAAACTGACGGTGAAAAGGGTTAAAACAAGCTGGTGTTTTCAGTCTGGACGTCTTTCAAAGCGCCGCTTGATTTCTGTCCTTGTTTGTAACTTTACTCACGTCGTGGAGAGGTGTCCGTTCTCTACGTGCGTTTCCACTTTGGCCAGCTGACGGGCGTGCAGGGAGGAATGTGGGAAGGCAGCGTGCATCCATGGCAACCCCAGACAGGACATGAGGATGTTGATGAAGCCAGTCAGCAGTAAGTCCCAGTGGAACGCTGTGCCTTTTAGCAACCTGGTAGAGACGTGTACACACACACACACACACACACACACACAAGTGTCAAGTGGTTTGTCAATGAAAGACTGCAGCGTTACAATATAACCTATATACATTACAGAAGATACAATACAGCACATGCATATAGTGCACATGTACACGTTATGTTAAATTCCTTGTCATGGTTCGGTAATTACACCCCTTACTTGTGTTCCGGTACGTGTGTGAGTGAGATGACGATGTTCTGGTCGATGAAGATGAGCAATGCGAGGAGGAAACCCAGACCGGCCGCGCTCAGTGTGTTCATTCCTGACAGCTTATCGAATGGAGGGAAGTTGAAGACGGGGCCATCGTGGACACTGAACACGGGAACTAATAGGTACATACGATTTATAGAAAACATTAGATCTAATATCTCAAGTAGAGTTTTATCAACAATGATGACATGATAAATAGAAATGCCTGAAAAGTGAGCTTTGTTGCTCGTAAGCTTTGTTTTTCTAAGACACGTTCAACCCAGTGTCTTTGACCCACCTTGATGCAGAACCCCCACTGGTTTGAAAGCTCTCTGAAAGCAAATATGTTCCCTTTTTTCCGCCTCCAACAGAGGATTTATGAACAATGAAAGGTGTTCTGTGCCAAGGTTGTGACTTTAAGTCTCAAGGGTACTGTTCGCTCAGTTCTTTTATGTGAGAGATCTGTACTCACGCTGTATGTCAAGGAAAAGGTAGGAGCCAATGAAGGAGCATATCACCACAGAGATCGGCAAAGCGCAGTCAGACACCACCTCCCTGACTCTGTCATTCAGATACGGGCTGTGGGGGGGGAAAAGAAGCGACACATATTCAACATCTTGCAACTCTGATGTGATAATTACTACAAGTTTTACAACTATTTGTTTATTTACAGTAGGCACTTAAAAACTAATCCATGTCAAGTAGTGAAAGTTTTAGGGGGGGCAGTGACGTCCCGGGAGTCAGACTTGGAAATACACCCTTTTATCTACCTCCTGTATTACACCTGAAAGGTGAAAATCACTGCTATTTGTAACATTCTGCCTGACTCCTGGGATGTAATTGTTCCCTCTTTTTCTCCCAGCTTTATAATTATGTGCCAATATATGCAGCTACAGTAGTTGAGTCCCTAATCACATTCACTCAAGTACCATGTATAAATACAGATTTAGTATTTTAATGTACTTAAGTACTTCCATTTACGCCACTTCATATTTAAAGTAGTCAGATAATTTATTTATAGGAGACACATCATGCTCATACTTGTATTTTGGGTTTCTCATTGGACATGTTAAAGGTGCGATATGCGACATTCAGAGCATTATTATAGTGCATGTGAGCTCACAGCCACCGCTCTGCACGGCTCTCAGACAGAGGTTACAGCTGATAATGCTGTTCCTTCGGTTCCCCCACAGATAAACTGAAAGCTCTGTCAGCTCTTTTTTGCTGTTGTAAGCGCTGTTAGCACTGTTTGCTGCAAAATAAATGCTCCCAATCTCGTACATTGCACTTTTAATGCTCAAAAAACACTTTTGCTCATACTGACTGTCTGTCTGTCTGTCTGTCTGTCTGTCTGTCTGTCTGTGTTCACTCTAGGTTTAAACGCTCGCCTGTGTCTTTAAGCCCCCCTTTCCAACAAAGCCCGGTCTGCTCTGATTGGTCAGGGTTTTCCGGTTTTCCGCATCCGTCGCCATCACAGTGTCACTGAAGGTGGGGCGTGTGCGTGTGTGTGTGTTGATTACACTGAGTTAGGCAGCACTTTTACTTGTGGCTGTGTAGTTTTTATTTATGTAGCACCTAGACCTGTTTAACAATCAAAAAACACGGAAATCTCACTTTTTACAATATGGGACCTTTAAGTAAAAGTAGCACTCAACGATGTAAAATATACTCCAGTACGTGTGTAAGTCCTGCATTCAAACGTTTAGATTATTATTTTGATGCTTTAACATGTAAGCAAGATTTAATGTTAGTTGGTTTAATTTTCTGCATTACAATCTGCAAAGTAACTCGTAACTCCAGCTGTCAGAATAATGTAGTGGGTGAGTGTAAGTATAAAGTAGTATAAAAACTACTCAACAGTATATAAAGTAGTTGAAATTAGCTCTACATGCTGGTTACATGTTAATACATAAGGAAAAATAATACAATAATACATACCTCTTCTTGATGAGGTAGAGGGCGTAACCCAGCCACAAAGTCCCCAACATGAGCAGCAGACAGAGGATAGGCCTTTCTCTTGTTGTCAACACCAGAGACTCGGTCAGGAAGATTGACACTTCCGAGTGTCCCATCGGTGACACCGTCTCATTATGATGCTGGAGCATGTTTGTCGTCTGGTTCTTCATCTTCTCCAGAATCTCATGAATCTGCTGAAGCACCAACGTGCTGTTTGTGGTCACCAGAGTGGGCCCGTGGTAGAAGTGCTGAAAAACTAGGAAGTGAGGGCGAAAAGAAGAAAAAGTAAAAAAGGATGAGAACCAGGGTCAAACGTAATGCAGCGTATTGCTCCTTGTTTCCTTATTTTTACAAGATCCTTTTCAGGTAAAGGCAATATTATACTATAAAAATACACCTGTTGTTACAGCATTAATGACTACAACTGAAGATTCAGTGGAAATAAGTGTGCTTGTTCATTTTGGTATTTGTTCAAATTAATTCTGATTTGTTTTCGTGAGGGTATTGGTGCCACTATGCTGTTGTTTTTACCTGATCTTTTTCCATGTTATAATAAGTAATAATTGATGTTTTAACAACATACTTACCTCTAATGTTACAACAAGAAATATTTGATTTATTGATGATATTTTATTTTGTTAAATCGAGACTCATTTTTGGCCTTTAACAGGAAAAAGTGAGGTTAAAGGTTAAATTGTATATTTTATTGTAACATGAAAAAGTTTCTTGGAAAAACAAGAAGTTCCTTGTTATAATAAGAAACTGAACAAATACTCTTTTTGTCATGGTGGAACATGCTGCCGTACAAACAAGACTCAACATGGAGACGCATTTAATTATATATACAATTCCCCTTTTATGTATTTGATCTCAGTTTATTTGCAGCCATTCAAGCACAATCAAGCGGTGCATTGTATTCAAGCTCTGCTCAGTTTGATGTCGTTGAATAGAAAACTACAGCCTGAGGCTTAAAGAGGACCGCTGTGAAGAATCCATCACATGCTCCTCCATTACTTCCCTGTCTGGTGTCAAACCCTCGTGAAAAAGATATCAATAGAAGCTATTTGAAACACCACATTATATTTGCATTGTAGAGATCTCTGTTTTTCCACAACAAACAGGGGTCCTGATTGATTTCATGCTTGCTTTTCCACCATGATGGATACGTACATTTGCTGAGCTACATTACCCCGAACAAATGATATGCAGGGCGTTTCGACATTCCCCTTCAGTGTGGAGAGAGACGCATTCAAAACATGTTTAATGCAGTCCGACCTTGGCTTGACTTACTTTTGACAGTGCCTTTCACCGCATCCCCGACAAACGCTATGGAGATGAACAATGCAATGACTTCTTCTGTTGAGCTAGGAGATGTCAAATGTCAAAAAAAAGCACAGTGTTCATGTTTTATAAAAATGTTGTTTTTCACACAGACACAGTCATAACAGCTCATTCAAGGCGAAATGTTGGCCCAGATAGCGAGAGTGCAAATTTAACTCGATTCATAATTATGTCTGAAAACAGGAAGTCATAACAGACGCGTCCTCTGTTATCAGTGACCTCACCTCAGTGCATGGCCACACGGCTAGCTACGTATATTACAAGTATGGGACTTCTGTCTGTTGTGTATTCACCGTTTGAAGAGTTTCATAAACAGGCTGACGTTGAACAAGCCACCGAGGATGAGGAACAGACTGTTCCACAAACCGATGCAGGCGTAGAAAGCATCGAAGTCCAGGTCGTAGTCATCGCAGATTCCTCTGATGACTGAAAAACATACATAAAGACACATTTTTAAAGTATTATGACGTTTTCACCTGAACTGTCTGGTAACCTGGCTACCAACATGGTTGTTGGACGCTGCCTGACAATCAGCTTCAAGCTTGAATTACAATGCATTTTCTGCATGTAATGTACAGTATGGTACAGAGTATATGCTCCACACATTAATTCGCCTGTTTAATCAGTAGGGCACATTACGCACCGCTTATGAAGATGGCCAGTGGCGCAGTGGTCAGTGGAATGACGAGCGGTGAGCCAGCGAACAAAGAATAGATCACTCCTCCAATGCTCTGGCCGACAATGGTCTTCTGAACATCTGTCAAAACAACACAACTTCACTTAGTTGTCATGCTTCAGGTTAAAATGGCTAACTGTATTAAAGGACGTTGACAGGAGTCCGTACCTATCTCTCCTCTTGTGCTTTCGTCATTCAGCGAACCGAATGCGATGGCAGGCAGTAGAATAGCAATGTAGAGGAAAATAGCTGTGGTAGTGTACTTCAGCAGACAGCGGTCCTTCCCATGCATACCTTGATGGATTATTTAACGGTTTATTACAGATATTCAACAGCCAAAATGTGAGGATATCTTCAAAGACATCTCGTGATTTTGCAGCAAAGGCAATTAGTTTAAATAGATATGTTCCCGCCTAGAAAGAAGCATTACAAGAACATATTAGTACCATCTGTGAAGTCTGAGGGGTAGAGGGGGAGTCTGCGACGGAGGTCGTCATAAACACCTTTACCGAACTTAAAGAAATCTGTGCACTGTGAAGAAAGACAGAATTTAGTCATTTAGACACGTCAGTCAGTGTGAAGAAATATACTTGATTAAATACGTTATGAATAATACATCCATCAGTTTGAACACTGCAGTGGTTTAGAATGTGAGAAATAATTGTGTCTGTCAAGATATAAGCAGTAGAAATATACCAGGAATGTCAGTGATGGAAAGTAAGAACATTAACTGCACTTAAGTGCAGATTTGAGGTGCATGTACTTTACTTGAGTATTTTACCCCCCCACTACATCTCAAGAGGGGAATGTTGTGCGTTTTACTCCACTTCGTGTATCTGACAGCTACAGTTACTTTACAATAAAACAAAACGGTTAGTAGATAAACTTATTAATCGATTGACAGAAATTAATTTGCAACTATTTTGATTTCTTTCGTTCATTTTTCAGGCAAAATCATGTCCTGGTTTCAGCTTCACAAAGGTGAAAATGTGATGCTTTTCCATTTAATTGTTTTTAATTTATCTATCTAGTGATGTAATATATAATAGTATAACAGTCACAGGGGACATTTCATACATTGAGTACCTTTTACTTTGTATACTTTAAGTACATTGTAACATTTTCAATGCATTACATTATACGTGTTTTTACAATGTGATATTAGTACTTTTACTTCAGTAAAGTATATGAATACTTCCTCCACCCATGAGGAATGTGCACTGTATTTGTGTTGAGGGAGTTTATTTTTCCCCTCCTTTTTACTGACATAGTGGTCCCATTTCAATCATTTTTTAACCCCTCCACTCCCTACAGTGCTACTGGTGGACACGACTTCACATTGAACAATACCTTTGACTGACTTTTGTGAGTGACAGAAGATGGTAAAATATTTTATAAACAGAGAAAATTAATTTAGAAAAAAAAAATACATTTTCAAACATGTGCTGGCTGGGTTTTTAGAATGAGCGTAATCCATTTTTAGAGACACTTGAGGAGGAATATTCTTGTGTAAGATTGAAGATACGGGCACACCCGAGTGTCCATCATTGCTTGTTTTTCTATTACACAACTTTGGAATTGCAGAACAGTTTAAAAAGCTGGTTTGGCCAGCTACATTTAAATGCCGTTTTGAAGCCGTTCAGGACATCAGGTGTAGCCTCAACCTGTTGTTTGTTCTTTTTTGTTCTTTTACGACCCAGCTACGTGCTTCTCTAGGCAGTATCTGGGTGTTCCCTCTTCTCTCCTGCTGAGCCCACACATTTCCTCTAAATTTAAACACTGGACATAATGAAGTATTTTATCACTAAATGGAGCTGCACACATTCTGCTGCCAGAGCCATGGCAGACTTGGCAGCTTTTTTTCAGTTTGTTTCCCAGTTGCTTCTAGCTCATCGGGCCTGGCTGATAGAGTGTGGAAACAGGATAATCAGATAATCTGGCTCAACTACTTTACTTTACTCTAAAACGCGAGGGAGAGAATATAAATGTTAGTTTTATTAGTAGCTTCTTGTCAGGGATGGTTATGTTTCCGTATTGTTGTAAATTTCCTTTTTTTTTCCATTGTTCTAAAAGTTATACAACGTCCTTAACCTTAAGGCCAATACGTCCTTGTCTGTGTCACATCTCCTGCTTTGTTCTTCTTTCACACCTGAAGTGGTTTCCCTCTACGTGGATCCGAGTCCTCCACTTCCTCTACGGCCGGCTTCTCAGTGACTACGGAGAGCTGCTGTCGCTGGTTGACCAGCTCCTGTTTGAACTCCTCCTGGGTTTTGGCCTCCAGTAGCTTCTGTCTGAAGGAAATGTCCGAGAACATCGTGGCAAATGTTCTTCCGAACTCAATGGCCGTCTTGGTGCTTTTCTGAAAAGGATGATGAGAAAGTTACTCTTTAAATTTGACCTTTAATAACAACTCCAACACAGCTGTGGAGTTTCATAGTCCGATAGACGGACAATTTTCTTAGTGTGACCTGAAGAATGACGATTAAGTCGACATGTAAAAAGGTCAGCAGCCAGATCCAAACGTCAAAGTGCATCTATGTGGCTCCTCTGAATGCACTTAATTAGGGTGGAAAATAACATTCTATCTATGAATCATCTGGTCAATGAAATATCAGATGTCCAAGAGGACATCTTCAAATTCCTGGTTTGTCGATAAATTCTAAAAGATTATCAGTTTACTATCATGTTATCCTGGTAAAACCAGCAAATATTCACGTTAAAGAGGCTAAAAGTAGTAACATTTCCAACACTTCTTCCTTAAAATGTTTTAAACAATGAATATATTATGAAAGTAGTTTGCTGTAAGCCACCATATTGCTCAAAAGGAAAGAGAGTTTTGATTAGAGGAACTGAGAACTGGCCCTAACCGTTCGAGGAGGGGCCAGGATGAGGATGACATATCGGGCCTCGCAGCAGTTGACCCCCCAGTTCTGTGGCCTCTCCAGACGGGCGATGCAGACATGGCGTCTCTGCAGGCTCCTCACATTGGAGCTGGATTGATAGGAAAATCATTTATTTTTAGATCAGTGGTGTAGAAATGATTGATTGTGCAGAATTCTGTATTAGCAGGTGTAAAGTAGAGCCCCACTCCTGAAACCAAAACAAAACGACTTTCCCAAAGAAAAGATTTTTCTGTCGTGTTGTTGTCCCTGTACAGTCTCAGCAACTACCCACAACATTCACTGAGCCTGGAGGAATTAGTCACAATAGCACCCTTTTTATGTAAATATTATTGCGGATGAACTCACAGAATACAAAGCCAGGACTGCTGGTAATGAATGCCAGTGGGAGAAGCAGTCACACCCTGAATGGTCTCTGACAGAAGGTGAACTGTGGGAGCACGAGAACATTTCAATGAGCTGAAGAAAAAAAAAGCTTTCACGTTGATGTGTCAAGTATCATCTGAGGCAAACACTTCATCTCAAATTGCCTCGAATATGTTTCGCCCACCGTTTGACTCCTTCCCTCCTGCGTCCGTGAACAATGAGTTCATGACCTCGTCCGCATCACAGCTGCTGTGGCCGTCCTCCACCAAGTGAGTCAGCATTCGCCGCAGGACTTCGTCCAGAGTGGCAGCTTTCTCTTCCAAAAGGATGCTCGCCTGGGCCAGGAAGCTGTCCAGGTCTCTGTGGGCGCGCACTTCCTCCTGGAAGTTCATTGGCTTCACATACTAGTGTGAGCCAAGGACAAGTGCAATTTGATTAATGATGTAATATTGTCATAGTGCAAATAGGTGAAAGGTTCGTTTTCTGATTTTGCTGACTGAACATCGCAAAAACAGCACTTCAATACACGCATTCCCTCGCAGCTCACTGCTTTAACTCAGTTCTCAGTTAGTTTAAAACATCAAGCGTGAGCTGACATTTGAGGATTTTAGCTTTAAAATGGAACAGTCGGAAAAGCAAATCTTACCTTTCTTGTTGTGTTCAAAATCCCAAACACAGGACATTCAGGATCTGCAAATAAAAGCATAAAACCCATTAATTAACACCCTAACACAGCCTTCAACTCCAAACCTTTGCTCTGATCCCCACAGCGAATGGTTCTTTGATTTATCTAAAGTTATTCTAGTGAAGAACTAAAACATCTCTCAGGTATTAATAGTTAATAGGGAGCACTAGCTGACAGTTCATGTCCATGAACTTTGTCTCAGTTATTATGACTTGGGGAATCAGAGCTGGCACACAGATTCCTATTTCTAATTATACTCAGACAATGAAAGTCACAACAAAATGTAACTTCACGGGACTGCGATGAGCTAATGAACTGTACTGTTGAAAGATGGGAGGAATTTGTTCTCTCTAATTTCTAATCTTATAACAAATCACACCACAGACTAAACATGTTTAAACACAAACCTGAAACACTGACATGGATCTGTTTGTCATAGATGTGATCCTTGTGAGTGGCCGGTGAATCCTCCTCTTCCCCAGCCTGCAGCTCTGTTGGATAAAACATAAGTGGTCACAGTCGAGTACAGTCAAGTTTTCAATTTCAACCGAGCTTGTTGCAGTGCTGCGATGTTACACTGTTTGTTCTTCAGAATTACTGGTTTTTGCTGCAGTAAATTCACTTTACAATTTAGTAATAATAACGGTCATTTCATAGATGACCCTAACTGTGAGATAAAACTGTTGTTTGAAACAAGGTTAAGATGCAACACCGGCCCCATTAACAATGTCTCCATTAAAGGACAATTTATGTTTCCCTTCCACCCCTCTGCCATCTGTTGACAAGCAGAGGGAGAGACCGACCCAATAAATAAAAAAAACTTAAACCAGACATGCAGCAATATAACAATAGCAGCCCCTCGTAAATTCCTTAATTGTATAGAAGATAAATATGGCATCTCGACCACAAGCTTTTATGAGGGTAGAAAGAAACAGCCAGACATAATTAGAGAATTAACCCTTAACCCTTCACGAGCAAAGCTTTGAGCTTTGGTTCTTCCCACTTCCCATCATTGACTCAGAGATGATCTGCCTCATTATTTACCCATTAATTAACCTCTCAACACACCAGAGGCTGCGCTCAGCAGCTTGTGAAATGGGTCATCGGTGAGCAGTATTGGTATTTGCATAAATAGCTGTTGCAATAAATGTAAATGCGAAAAAGTACTGTGTTCCGTCTCGTAACCTGAAGGAAAATAAACTGAATTACTTAGTCTGTGCTTGCAAAGCGAATCATCTGGTGTAAATAAAAGAACAGGACACATGCTGAGAAAAGCAATCAAAGTACATAATAACATTTATTACTGCAGCTACGCACCCATCTCTTGGAAAACATATCCGTTCTTGGACCTCCCGGTGGATGGAGCCTCTGTAGGAGAAAAGACAAATATTTACTTCATGCCCAATGTTTATTATAAAGTATTTTATATTAAAAATGTTCATTATTGTTTGTATTGACTTGCAATCATAGTTCGTCATATAATAATATAAAATGTTGATTTATTATCCCCGTATATTATCACGCAGTTGCTAAATAACACATCAAACTGATTTGGTGCAGTATATTAATTCATTTGAAGTTGTGTTTTTAGCCACCTGATGACTTTAAGTCCAATATTCTCTCTCTTTTAGCTCCGTTTGGTCTCCACCAAGTCCTGAGGGAAACATCTGCCTCTTTAGCTGTTAAATGCTCCACTATGTTCACCAGCTAACTTTGTCAGTCAGCTGTTTAGTGTTGAGCAGGTAGCGTTATATTTCTCTGTAGAGTCCTTTCCACTTAAAATAACAATCTGAGCCAGTCAGTGGCAAAAAACAGACACTTTTAGTGGACGCACACTGACGGTGAGGAATTGCTTGATATGATTACATTGCAGCCTGTTTAGTGACTGCCGTCTGCAGCGCTCTCCCTCATTACTGGACCAAATGTTTTCCCCAAAGTCGCACATGAGAAATTAGAGTCCAGGTTAAAACATACCAAAGCTACCCTTTTATATAAAAATACTGATTATTGCCGCTTCAATTCTGAGATTTAATGCAAAATCCAAATCTTTTTTCCATCCTTGTCGTCATACACCAGGGCTGCAGTTACCGTTAAGGACACGTTTCCCCTGGCAATGTGAAGAAGTCTGTCACAGCATTTAGACCATAATGGAGGCCAATTCAATTTACAGAAAACTGAAAGAAAATAAAGAAAATTCATAAATGTTAGAGACTTGCGTGTCTGGTCAAAGGTTTCTGTGGATTGCAGGGGACACGGACTCACACCGCTACATTTTTTATATATATTTTATACTCTGAGTTGAGTGTCAACAGTAAAGAAATGGCGGGAACAAGGGGAGAGAGAGACGGGGAACACAATGCAACAAAAGTCTCGACCCGAGTCAAACCAGGAACATTGATGGTCAGCACCTTAATAAACCAACACCATAACATCTTAAATATTTAAGACCTGAAATCCCTTTGTTGCAGACCAATTATTTTTTCAGACACAAACTGACCAACACATGGTGATAAAACTGGACTCCATGTTGACTGACCCTGTGTGCAACAGCTCTCACTTCTCAAGTGATAAAAACAGTCTGCCTTCACCAGCAGGCCTCCACCTTTTCAGCTGCACACACTGAAATTGAAATATCTGATCTTGTTGAATCATTATTGCCAGTGTGACGCACACTCGGACCTTTACAATAGCGTGGCACATTGTATAAATTACAGAGATAGAAAGTGGATGTAAGTTAAGGAGATGTTAAAGAGGACAGTGAAAAACGGCTCATGCTGAGAAACGGAAAAAAGAAACCCTTCCTTATCGGTTACAAGAAAAATCTGACACCAGCTGTGTCCGATGTTTGTATTAAGCGGTCATGTGTCTGTGAGACTCTGCTGTAGCTGTACAGATGAGCTTTGTCTTGCCCGAGGCAGTGATTGGCTCCAGGGGGGCTCCTCAGCAAGGCTATATCTCAAAGCAGATTAGACGGAACATTCCCAGGCCTCCTCCACTTCACAGGAGTCTACGCAGACAACAGGGGACCTCGCAGCTCCTGCAACGAGCTGTTTGTGCCAGAGGATGACTTTAGTCTGCCTGGCTGAGACCTTTACTGTCTCGTCTCATAAAGATAAAGGTCAAGTTTGTTGTTAATTCTCTGCACTATATCTTATCAGCGTGATCAAGGCTAGAGACTGACTTCCACTAAACACTAATGAACAGTTTCTCTTCTGCTCCAACAGTGAAATTGATGTGAAGACATGAACCAAATTTGTGCTGCAAAAGTGAGTGAGACATTTAAAAGTGTATCGGAGAAGATACTTTGCAGTGTTTCTGCAGGCGTGTGTTACGATGACTCATGCCTGTGTGTTTCCTGTTGGCAGACACGCCGACTTCCTGGTGCTTAGTGTGCAGTATGTTGACATTGGCAGTGACAGAAGTGTAAGTCAAGCCTAATGACATTGACAGTGCTCCTTAAAATAGTCTTCCGATCCTGTTAGCAAAACAGGTTTTGGTGATATTTTGTGATATATATTTTAAATATATATTTTTCTACGCTCTAATCCTTTGTCCACGTGTTAACTATACTGTTTATTAACTATTTTTATATAAATATAAATATAATATATAATATAATATAATAAAAATATGTCCTTTGTTTTCTGTGCAAAACATTAAAATGTTTCTGATAACTCGTATTGAATTGATCGTGACTAGCTGAACCCACCCATCACATAAAACAGCTCTTCTTGGGTCGTAGTAGCTGGCACAGCAATATGACGGATCAGAGGTGTGAGTTTGGATTTCAGTTGGCCAAGAAGGCATGGTTGTTGAGGGCTGGCACAATATCAGCATTTCACAACATGATTATCGTGGCGAAAATAATTCATGATATCTATATACGATATCTATAAAGAATTTGTTAGACAAAACTTTTTTACTTTGTTTATTGTGCGTTTTGTCTCACTTTTGGCAAATGATTTATACTCAAATGAGTGTGCAGAGTCTGCAACCAAAACTATGCAAAAGCGTAATTTAAGAGGCTCTGGATTTTTCCACAATATTATAATATGTGCATTGTTACCCTATCAATATTTCATTTTTAAATATTACGATTATTAATACCGATATACATGACCACTTATCCTTCATCCTCTTCCTCTTCATCTTACAATGTAGATGAATTGCTTTATTCCAATGTGTCCACATTTGATCAAAATGTGTCGGAAATACACCACATCACTCAAGACAAAGACGCCCTGACTGCCGTTTCACCGTGATTCAAAAACTGAATGTCTATTTATTTATGTTTCCGAAATTTTAATATGTGCGTGCGTCAAACCGCAAATATGAACGTATTCAAGATTTTTTTTTTCCTACCACTAGTTCATCCACACTTTTTTCTCAGAACTTTTAAATCTAAAATTGTTGAGTATTTTTTAACTCTCACAACCCAACCCACCTCTTAATATGATTTGATGTCTGTGATTTCTTTATCTGACTGGACAAACAAGGCTGACTTAACGCCTTAGGTATCTTTTATTAATCCCTTCCATCTTGCTATCTAAAGGATGACCATGAGGAGTAACAAAACAGAAGAATCCTTGTTGGGTCTTTGAAACAAGAGCTGCAAAACTGAGAACTCTGTGCTGAACTACACAAGGTCAAACCATCAAGGCAGATGGGACTCGGCGTTCGTACGTGTACAGGGTCATTGGCGCTTTGACTTTTTTTTTTCTCCTTGTCAATTTCATGCTTCGTAGTAAAAAATAATTTGAGCACGGTTGGTGCAGGCAGCCGTGCTGGACAGTGTGCACTCTGCAGGTCACAATGTACACATTCCTATTGAAACATAGCAAACAACAGGAAGGAGGAACTACAGCTCATTCCACTTCAACACCTCAGAGGCCGACGATAACGACGACTTGATGTTTGGTTATCCAGCACGATGGATATGACCACTGGACCAACACTAACCATAGTCCGACAAGATGCACTTCAGTAACCAAAGTACACATCTAACGGGGTTTATTTCTCACTTCGACATCAAAGAAGTCTGAAAGACGTATGCCATTAATCCTCTGGGGGACTGAAGTGTTTTCAGGGGAATAGTTAACAGTGGATGACATAAAGCCTGCAAAACGGTTGTAAATCTGAAGATAATAGTAGCAAAGGATGGTGATGCTGTAGGTTTGATACAGTTCCTTTTTTAATCCCAATTGTATCACATTATCATCACCGTTAACCAGAGAATGTCTTCAATAAGAGTGGGAAGGCCAGATTAGAATATTAGACATTTTTCTGCAAGATAATCTTCTTAATCCTCGACCTGGGAAAATACAAGTAGGATTTTTTAACCCTTTGATGGCACTGAACAAGAAATACATTTTACTTGTTGTGAGCTGCTACTAAACTATTTTCCATCATTGAATAATCTGCCAATTATCTTCTTCATTCATTAATTAATAGTTTGGTCTCAAAAAGTCATGACATAGTGAAAGAATCCTTACGTGGTTACTTCTTCTTCAAAACACTGGTTTTGTCCGAGCAACTTTAACAACATATTCAGTTTGCTGTCACATAAGACAAAGAAAAGCAGCAAATCCTCACATTGGAGAAGCTCGACCTGTTAACGTTCACTGGGAAAAATACTTGAAAGACTAACTTTTTATCAAAATAGCACATTTTCCGTTGAATAGTTATGAACAGCTTGTGTGTTGCATGTGTGGTGTGGTAAAAGAAAAGAAGCCAACTGGGAGAGTGGACTATATGATACGGTAGCAGCATCAACTTCTAGACTTTCCCACTTTATGACAACAGGAGTTTTAACCCAATAAGTTTTAAATCAATTGGAGCACATTTCTGGAATGATTCCCTTCACCGGTGTGGTGCTGTAGGAGTGTTAAAACAGATCTAGATCAAGAACAGTCTGCTGTAAAAACTGTCTATGAGAGACAAATGTGCTATTTATTGCCATACTGTAAATATTGACCCACATGCTTTTGACTTTCCTGGCTATAAAAGCAACTTGCTCGTATTATCTGGTTGTAATATTAAGAGTGTAAATACATAAAGATGCAGGCAAGTAGAAGATAATAGAAGAGTTATGAAATGATTGTCCATCTAAAGATGAAAGCCGACACTACATATGATACACAATACTTATTACACTAGATGCTATCGGCACACAAACGCGCTCACACTATAGAGAGGGTTTCTCCACGTGTTTGACACAGTAGGCTCAGGTTGCAGCATGACAGACCTTCTCACCCTGCTCAACCCCTGTGAAACTTACCAGATGGCACAAAATGGAGGATCTTTTTGGCTTCCATGTTCTTCAGGTTTTTAAGGTGAGATGCTATCCAAAGGTCAACCCATCATCCTTCTCTCTGCTCCCAAACACCCTGCACTCACCAGTGACCCCCTCTCACTGTCTTTCATTAACACTCACACACAGACACACACACACACATGCCTCTCCTCTAGCAGCACATGGGTTTGAAGGAGGAAGTGGGAGGGAAGGAAGGCAGAGGAGGGTGAGAGGCGTGTTTATTTCTGCTGGGTCCTTGTGCCTATGAACTGAAATTTAATACATAAGTAGGTTTTGTGTTTTAGTATTACAGATTTCTGGCTCTTATTCTTTTATATAAGAAAGTTCCCTTTGCAGCTAACTTTACAAAGTTTGTACACACTTAGCTTGAAACACAATGCATTCTGCTTAATGACCGAACAAATGTCCTGTTTATGGTTCAAAGTTAGTTAGATCACTTAAAATGATAAACTCCACCTTTTCTTTTGTTCATTCATATTTGGGGCCTTGATGTTTGGATTAGTTCGGGGGTCCTATGAGGGCGGGTTGGATACAAATATGTGTCAGTTATATTTTTCATCTGAATGTTTTCTAGTGGGGAGGAGATTAATTCAAATGGTGACATTGAGGGAGAAAAGGGGAAAAATCATGATTTGTGTGGTTGTGTGTTGTGTTTTTATCTCTCTTTAAATATATCTTGGAAAAAACAACAGCCAGCAACCTTTAAAGAAGGGAATCTCAATAAGAGTTTGTCCTTATTTATTTTGATATCAGTTAAAAATTCCACGTGTAGAGTTTTTATAGCGCTGTCTTATTGTTACTTTTAGATCATTTTGATGACATTTTTCTGTTTGTAGAAAATGTTACTTTCAGCAAATTCATCTCTGTGCCCCGTGGACACCAAGGAAGCATTCAGATTGTACACATAGTGCTGTTAACACAATTAGGGACAAAGAAAATAGACATTTCACGTTACATTTACCAATGTCAACTATTTTGCAGTACTATGTTGTTTTCCTTTCTAAACAATCAAAATGACATTCACATTCAAAGTTTGTTACCCAAATATAGTGTATCATGTGTGTGCTTTGGGCCTAGTCAACTTGTTGAATACATTTCCTACCTTATGAAACAATACCAGAGCAGATTTCTTTGGAAGAATCAAAAAACCTACATTGTTTACATTAGCTTGCAGTGTTCTTCTTTCTTGCCTATGTTAGCACATTTCTGCATTTCATGGCAGGTTACTGCCACCTATTGTCAATCAGCGGAATCGCATGAGACCGCCTGAAGAACTATGTAGTGTGTTGTGTGTGCATGAACATTAAGAAACTAAGAAGAGAGTGACCCACTCTTAAAACATTGCTTCATGGTGCTACTAGTGGTCACAAACTCTACGGGGTGCCTTTCACTTTAAATGTCAATTCAATCATTTTCAAGGTAGAAAGCGAGGAGGCGAGTCTGTCCTTGATTCAACATCAGTAATGGAATAGCAACCGTGAATGGAGCAAGATTTGGTAACAATCAGAAAGTAGAAACTGAAGCGATATACACATGATAAAGAATTATGAATTAGTCAAATGGTCAGATCAGAACAGCTATGTGCTGTTCTGATCTGTGCTGAAATTAAATGACCAGACAGTTACACACTCAATAATGTACCATGTGAAAAAAAATGATATATTACATCCTGAAAACAGAATGATATAATTTGTTCTATTTTTCCTCTGTGGCAGGAGGGACAAACAGCAGACTGAATGGCTGTACCTGAACATTCTCATTAGAGTTGATTTGACTGAATAAAGCTGAACTGATGGAGACAACGTGACACAAGTCACTTGTTTACGCAGACTGTGATGTTGTTTATTTGATCGAGTTGTTTGAATCCAGAGGAATGCTCAGCTCCGCTGAAGGAACAAACTCCACATATTGACATTGACTGAAGCACATGTAGGAGGAATTGTAATGCTGTGTTGCGAGGGTTGAATGTTGATATAAGCGCTAAAGAAGACAAGAAGAAATGACCCCTGCCAGAGTAAATGCCCTAATGCTGGGAAATAAGTTTGCATTCAAAACAAACAGTCCTTGTATAAGCTGGTGATGTCATCACTCACATTATACCTGCTTGTTATTTTTCTAGAATCTACAAGCCTTGTAATACTGTACATACTCTTTTTAACTGACATCATAGGCAGTTGCAGGGCAGGAAAAAGATACACCAAGTCGCCAGATCTAAAAAATGTTAATGATAGGAGTAAGACAACTGGGACACAGGGTTCACAGGCATGACTTTAACCGTCACTGCCATGAGATGGCAGCACAGTCTGTTGTTTAAAAACTGCATGGCATCAAACGCATTCTGTGTTTTTCATGTTGTATACTCACTTTAAACTTAAAGTTCACATACCTCAGAGTCTAAGCTGAATAAAAGTGGCGTTTGTTGGTGAAAGGGGTCAGTTGAACATAATAGAAAGTTTTCTCACTCCAAAGTGCACAATGGTTTGTTGAAGCAAGTTGTGCTTTTATCTACAGCTTGGATGATTGTAAATGCTTTAGAGCAGGCGGAGAACAAAACAAACAAGCACAATAGAGTGTCCCAAATTCTTGTTGAGTTATTTTAAAGTTACATGTTTTTTTCTCTAATTAGGTTATGTTATGTTCAAGTTTTACTAAGTTCAGGTAATTATTTTATGTGATGCTTTTGGTTGCCTTAACATATGCAAATATTTTTATTTGAGTTCACAACATTAACCACGTGCATACTGCGACTGGGCTACCCAGTGAGATAGAAAGTGGGTCGAACACATACGTCAGTATGTGACGAGTTGGAATGAGAACGTGTTGCTTATTTGACTTCAGCCCTGATCCAAAATTACTACACACAATAGAGCAGAACCTTTATATTTTGTTTACTTTGTTCTAACTACACATAACTATTTAAACAATCAGATCAAACCATCAGATTATGGAGCTTATTCACCACTCGTTATTCAAAATAAAATCAGACTACACTGACCTTTCAGTATGTTTTGTGGACTTTCATCGCTGGCATAGCAATAAGTCAAACAGTGACCATAGCATCACTAGCAAAGAGGCCAGTAAAGCAATGAAATGCTGCATTAATAAACTAATGCTCTGTGGTCAAGTGGTTCATTGCTGGTGCACAATGAGTTTGCCCGAGTCCACAGTGAAACATTAATCAAACTCCAGGAGCACCTGAGTGCCAGAACTGAAGGAAACACACATAAGAACACCCGAGGGGCGCTATAGAGGAGCTCAAAACATAAAACACACGCGTCACATTCACATTGTTGGTTTTAAAAAAGCAAGAAAACTTAATGCCCGAATGAATATTCAATTAAAATGTGCAGAAAGGCTCGAAAGTGGTTGATGAGTCAGAAATGGGTGCCATAGGAGAGCTACTGAATTAATCTGTTGATTTTACTGACGGGAGCTATAAATGTGTAACAGAGTGCACAGCAAAGCTTACAGAGATCGTTTTTGCAGTCAAACATTAATGTGCAAATGTGTGGAAAGACTGTGCAGGGAGATTATTATTATTCATACTGAAGAGCCATCAACTGACTCTGTATTAACTTTATTCTCTCTCAAATAAAACATGAGATGCGGCCTCAAAATGTTCATATTCCTTTTCATTCTCAACTGTGAAAATATTGGTACGATCAGTCAGTTTGACGTGACTCACTCCTGTATGCATTTGTCTGACATCAAATAAGTGTTTGTAACTTCAAGCGTGTGCTTAAAAAATTCAATACACAACATAGAAGTGACGCAACAAATAGGCTTTAAGTCCAACGTGAACGTAAACAGCTTCTGTTCATCTCCGATTGGATTTGAATTGATCTGCTGCTCGTCACATTCACACTGTGACCTTCATCCATTAAGGTCATCCCATCTAGTATTGACCGTGTTCACTGTGTATCGTTCCAAACAAGCGTAATGAAAAAATGCATGCAAAGCAGTACACAGCAGGCCATCATTTCATAACACGTGTATCACGATTTATTTAACAGTAAGACTATTTGGCTCAAATACAATGTATTATTAATAATGAATACATTTAGAAGATTTTAAAATTCTGAGTAATAGATCACAGACTGGTCCACAATGACAACGCAATTATTAATATTCGCTTAAATATACTTATAGGACTCTAAGCAAGCCAAACTTTTCTTGTACAATCCTCCCATCTGATGCTCAAAGCACAAAGGAAAGAACAAACACTACAGATCTTTTCACAGATATGATTATGACCCCGGTCTGATTTCGATTCAGCTTTATGACCCTTACCTTCAGAAAAATGATTCACAGTGACTCCTGTTATCTCCTCTGCCTCCATTTTGATCTTCATCAACCTGGGTTTCTTGCAGTGCAGCCAAAACTCTGTGATAGTTTGAACACAGCGGTGAAAACTCCACACAGAGCTGAGATTGCAAAATGTGTTTCCTGTGTGAGAGTTGCAGCATGAGTGTTCTTGTAGGCAGGCCCTCAGGTAGATGGGGATGGGTCACATTGAATGAATAACACATTAATGGCCTCCCTGCCAATCACAGTGAAGCTGACTTCATGTGCAAAAGGTAATGCAGAAAGTAAAGGTGAAAAGAGGAGACAAAGAGAAGGGGGAGGACAGGAGATGGGGGAGGAAGGTGTGAGGAAACTACTTTTAACCCCTGCTGGGATTCTTTGATATTTTAATGTGACTCTCCCGTGAGACATTTACCACTTGACTGTTGTGCTAAAACATGAATGCAACCACAGTGTTTACCTGTATGATTCATTGCATGATTCATGCTATTCGAAGGGCTCAAACCCAGGACCTCTACATCGGCACGTTTTAGCTCCACTTAAAGGCAGGGGTGGTGATCTTGGGTACGTTAGATTGTAAAAATCATCCAACCCGTGTTGCCAACTCCTTTCAAATGAAAGTAGCTCGCAGCAAGTCACCAAGTAAGCTACTCCGGCAGCTTATCCCTTCAGGCCTCTTTCCGAAGCCTCTCCCCTAAAATGATCATTATAAGTGTTAACAACGACTATGGCTATAAGCTAGCAGCGTGTGGAGGACTCCTGTGATGAGCAATGAATGCACAGGCATTACATACGGGGCCGAATGGAAATGAAATGATTGGACAGGCTTATTACAGTCCTGCGACAGCC